TTCTATTAACTGATTTTTTTTTATGTGATAGGAGGCAAATGGGCAGGAGGCTGACCTTATGTTAAGTGATACCGCCTTCCATGGATCTCACATTGCCAGAAGGCTCGCAAGTACATTGACGGCCTTCTTTTCTTGAAGGAAACTAAGTCGAATTGATTCGTAAATACTTCAGTGGGCTGCTGGTTCCACATAGAAAACCTGATGTTGCGGTAAATAATAAAAAGTGGTTGGTATAAATACAAGAAGATATTTTTACTTCTTTGAATTAAATAAAGTTACAAGCGTAAAAGCCTTATAACGAGCATGACCTCCTTTTGCCAAAGTCATAGCTTGAATCCTTCTGGACATGCTTTCCACGATGTCTTTAATAACGTTTTGAGGAGGTTGCACTGATCTTACTTGTTAGTAGAACATCCCAGACATGCTCATTGCTCAATTTGATTGAGGTCAGGACTTCGAGCTGGCCAATATAAACGACTGATCCCAACAAATAACTAGTAAATACTTGGGAATATATACCTTGATGATGAAATAATTAAATTAAAATTTTATTTAAAAGTGCGAATTTTAGTTCACTCAGATATTGGGTAAATACATTTCTGCGTCTGTTTCACCTATTTTTTAATTAGGTCTCTAGTGTTTTCCATACATATTTCTTATTTCAGCAGCCAATCCCTTAAGGTCAATAGCATGATAATTATATAGACTAGACAGAGTGAAAAACATGACCACTTCATGAAAAATACATATGAGGTCTTGTATAATCAGCCCTACAGGGAGAGGTCATAGTATACTGGATGGTAATTTAGGTATGTTGGTATTGCCTAATTCGAGCCATTAAAGCAGTATTATTTTTTTCGTTTGGCGCATAAGCCAAACTGATCTTTCATATTTCAACTGCATTGGAATTTTTATGCTGCTTTCAATAGCTACTGATTTTGATTAATTTGTTCGTTATACATTAACGTTATTGCTATTAATATGTAGTATTTCTACTAGAATTTTACCTTTTTAGCGTTTTGTTACAAAGAACTATTACACACAAGTTAATCGTAAAATTTACAGCAAAAACTATATACATTATTAGGAATGTTTCGACAGTATAGTCATGTTTTAGCCTTAAAACTAATAGATACGGTAGATTAGATTCTAGTCATAAAAGATTTTACGTTCAGAACCAATTTAAGTTCGTTCTCGCTTCTTTTCATGTAACTTTCTCCAATACTTTTGTTCAATAATGGTTATTTCGCTGCTTATTCCTACATTATAAGTACATTTATTAGTTATTAATTTAAATTGTGAGGATCTTACCAATTAAAAGGTAACTTTTGTTACTAATCTTAAATATTTTCTTCAATGATGGGTATTTACCAATTAAACTGAATACGTAGTACAAATATAAGGTATGTTATTCTTATTTATAACTTCCTCTGTTTGAAATAAATAAGCTGCATACAAGAAGTATGAATCGTCGACGACCAGTCATTTTCCGTGCGGCTTGGACCTTTGCCGACGTTACGGGATTAAAGATCTTTCTGCATCTTTTACCGTATTAACACGGATTGTTAAGGGGAATTGTTTGGTTTAATAGTTGGAGCTGATCTTCATCATCGATCAGGAAGAATCGATCACCCCTGTTCCAGAACTATTCGATTTTTAGACCGCGCATCATCACTATGTGGAACCAGTGGCCCATCAAACTTTTCAACTTGGGATTCTGCATAAAACGTACCAAATCTTAAACACCAGCTATGCACACGCGAGCCTTCTGGCAATGTGAGTATCCGAGGTTGGAAGGATCACTTAACATCTCAACGCTTTTGTAGTCCTATAAGAAAAAGCTTTCTTTATTTAAAAATAAATCTATCTCATATCTAAATGCAATTACGTAGGCAAAAACTAGCCTTTTTGCCTTTATCACTTAAATTGGCTTTCAAAGCAATTTCTCTAACTTTGTTCGTAGTAAATCGGATACTATTATTAATTAAATATCGGATGCACACCGGTCGCATTGCGGAATAATAGCACAATGCAGTAACAGGCGGCTCGTACGGTACAAACAAATTTATAGGAATCATATTACATAATATGCCGGATAAAAATAACGAAAAGCGCAACAATATTAAAAATGAATTGTTATATTATAGAAAACTATATAGGGATAGTAAAATAACGTTAATTTATTTACATAAAACATTTCTGTGTTTCTCATACCTGAGGTCTTAGGTTTAATCCCCGGCTGTGCGCCAATGGACTTTCTTTCTATGAGCGCATTTAACATTTGCTCGAACGGTGAAGGACACCGACATGTCTTAGACCCAAAAAGTCGACGGCGTGTGTCAGGCACTGGAGGCTGATCACCTACTTGCCGATTATATTTTAAAAAATGATCATGAAACAGATTCAGAAATCTGAGGCCAAGACCCAAAGAGGTTGTAGTGCCACTGATTTTTTTTAAACATTTCTGAAGTAGTTCATAATGAATGCCATAATACCATAGTTTTTAGAGAATAAACGCATAAAAGATTGTTCGAGTTTTCAAAGAACAGTGCCTGTACTTGCTACGAATCTAATGGCCCGTGAATTCCTTTATGCGCGAATATTAAGAACAAGATGCAGTTTACAACTTTACATGCAGAGGAACATTAAAGCGTATGTTACGTGTTAATAAAACTGTTTTTGATTTATGTATATTCACCTGAAACAATAAATATCATTAGGTTTCATTAAACCCCCTCTTTAGACAGCCATAATTGTGTTTATAATTTGTATTTTTAAAGTATTCTATTTTTAAATGTTTAATTTATGCAATAAATGTTCTTATATTGTTGTACCTTTCATTTAAAACATGACTAGCTGAAATTGTATAACACAACAAACAATATGACTAGAATAACGATTAATAACGGCAGCAAGCTAAAAATGGTTTTAATTTCTCATACTTTTAATCTAAGAAAGTAACTAAGAATATCTTATAATATTTTTCTCTTGTATTTCCATGAAACAATATAAACATTGTCGTTCGGCCTTGTAACACAATTGCTACAATAAAAATGTACTTCTAGGTCAATGGAACGTCGGAGAATTCGTAGATGTGAAAATAACAATATACAAAACATTAATAGAAACTTGGAGAGGTTCCAGGAGAAACCAGAGGTTCACTCAATCAGTGCAGCAGGATGACCTCTAATAGGCAACGATGGCGGAACGTCGTGAAGCGCATCACATCTGCCCCTTGTCTTATCACTACTACATAGCGATCACGACCGCTCTATCAAGAGTATATCGGATAAGAAGAATAGAAACCTAGGATTCAAACAATTTACTTAAGGCTTACCTATCACCTCGGAATTGACGACTTATGTAACCTTATTTAACTTGAGCGACTAAAGCAGTGGTGGTGTATTTAAAATCAATAGTGGTTTTTAAGATTTTTCTTCTATAGAAGCTTGGGGCTAAGAATATATTTGCTTGGTCTTTTAGGACAATAGGACTCTTTAGGGACAATAATAAACCAGTAAATGTTATTTATTTAAAATAATAGATCAGTAAATATTTTTTTTTTTAAATAATAAACCACATTAGGTATTTTTATTGAATTAGTATATTTTCTAAATGAGAAATAAACTTTATCTATATTTGATTAAAACATGAATATTAACTATGTTTATTGTATAAGAATTCTTTCTTTTTATTGTTGTGCAATAAAAACACTTCGATTAACGTTTAAACCCGTTAGGTTAAATGATCATTTATTCTTAATATTACCTCGAACTTGAGTAATGCAGCCTATAAAGCAGATAGCGTTCAGTTTTATTGGATGCATTTTAACTTTATATGGCCTAGTTAACATTAAACTTTTAATGTCATAATAAAGTAGGTCATAAACTAGCTAGGATATTCCATTATAAGCCATGGTTTAGTTAGCATTACTAGCACACGTCTATATATTTAAAATACACATATAATTAGTTCATTTAATTTTTGTAAGATATTCAATATCCTTTATCCTGACTTTTATTCAAGAGCTGTGCTGGATTTACATCTGTAACCTGTCTCTACATCTATCCGTCTTATGACGAGAACGGAGAACCTAAATTTATACTGTACATTTTAACGTATATGTCACCGTAAAATTGTAAACACCGTTAGATTGTAATCTATCTCGCGAGATTGTAAACTGCCGAAAGATTGTGAACCTCAACGAACTGCTTACAATTTAACGTATTATTATTCGGTAGATTGTAATCTATGGAAGTGAAACCGTCAAAATGTGAAAAGGTTCGCACCTCGCGCGCTGATTGGTTGAACGGAATATGCCCCGCGCCACCATATTTTTTTGTTAATTCGTTTGTTGGTTTCACTTCCATAGATTACAATCTACCGAATAATAATACGTTAAATTGTAAGCAGTTCGTTGAGGTTCACAATCTTTCGGCAGTTTACAATCTCGCGAGATAGATTACAATCTAACGGTGTTTACAATTTTACGGTGACATATATATTATGGCTTTAGCTTCATAAACTACGTCGTCGGCCACACATGACACACTACACAGTGTCAACATCTGTAGATGGCTCCGATATTATACTATCTACGCGTCATCTATCGATAAATTATATTTTGAATAAGTGCCACAAATGGCAAAGAAACTCTTAACACATCAATATTTGCTTAAATAATGTTTTAATTGTAAATACAAATTATACGTATGTTATATGTAGCATGATTAAATGATCCATAATATACTAGTTTACGAATTATTTACATGTGGCAAGTAGTGAGTAAAAGATATTAAAAAACTAGAGTATTTTTCATAGACCATACTTTCGTCAGCTGATCGTTGTGTGATTGTCAAACTTATTGATGTTAAGTTGTCCGATGAATTTGACATTCAAAACAATATGAAGTAGTAATTATTTGCTCTTTGAAAACGTTGATCATTGATTTGGAAAGGAAAATAAATATTTTGTTGAAGAAATAATTAAGTGTTATCAAAATGGCTAGTATACCGTTAATGTATGCGCAGGAGGACTGTGAATTGGGAGAAAAGGGAAGCATTGAGGTAAATACCGCTTGTTTTGTAAACTTTCCACATCGAAGCCAGATGGCCTTCGATTTTTATTATTTGCTTAGTTTTTTGATGTTTTTCAAACAGCAGTATAATCCTCGAACTTGAGTTACAGCATTAATTCTCAATGCTAAAGTCTGATCTTTGGTATATGAAATTTAAGCCCTAGGGGAATTTTCGTGACGTCATTTAGTTACAAAATACAACATAAAAAAATCGTTACTAACAAAATTGTTGGTCTGAATAAATGTCTTTCATGTGTTGGCTATTAGAATGAAAACTGTATTTCCCATTACTGATAAGATAAATGTAGGTACCTCTATATTTTCTTAGAAAAGGAATTAATCCTAAAGAAATTATAAAGATAACATTCAGTACCTACATGTAATCAGAATATGTGTTTCTCCATTTTTATATGTCTCTATAATATTATAAATTTTATTAAATATTAATAAGAGAGCTTCCATTGTCTATGATATACATATATTCCCTATTAATGCAGGCAGCTTTATTTAATGTTTTCTTCGCCAACAAGTATCACAAATTCTCAGAATCACATTTCACACAGTTCTCAGAAGCCTCTAACAACATAGCATTTAAGTATAGCTACGGTATTCTTTTTTCACATTATAAAAGCCAAGTACTTACAAGTATTATTAGTTTAGTATAATATTAAGTGTATAAAAAATTTTGAAATATAAACTATATTTTATTTTTTTATAAAATGACCACATAATAATAGATGTACTTAAATATTTATTGAGTACTTATAGGCTAACTGAATATTTATTAATAAGTGGGTAAGTTTATAATAGCTTCTATATTGTAGGAAAATTAACTAGATAATAAGTAAAAACTAAACAAATTTCAGGATGATTTTGCATATCGCAACAATGTTATGAATGCGGATAAGGATATTCGTCTTGGCTTTATTCGAAAAGTTTATAGCTTGCTGACAGTACAACTGTTGGTCACTGTCGCAATTGCCTCAGTTTTTTTACTTGTTAAGCCAGTACAAGTATTTATACATTCCAAGTAAGTAAACATAATAATAATAATAGTATGTCCAAAGATTTTAGCTTAATAGTATAGCAGTGGCAGTCTAGCAATGTCAAGCTGCAATTATTTTGCTTAAAACTTTCACTATGTTAATTTAGGTACAAATATCAATATATTTAAATTGTGTCAATCAGAAAATATGTGATGAAAATGCATGAAATATATTTTACTTAAACTTTTAAGACAGACAATGGTGTGTTATTTCTATTGCCGTAGAGTATAGACCAATGTCAAATAACATGAGAGAATGAGAAAGTAGACGGTGGAAAAACTTTACATTCTCTAGAATTCTAATATATAACTAAGTTTTTAATGATATGACGTGTCATAAATTATATTCTACTTAATAATTTGTGTGTTGATTTCAGTGAATGGATGGTACTAATTGCATTTGTTCTGAGTATGGGGACACTACTAGCGCTGATTGTTAAACGTCGTGAATATCCCACAAACCTCTACCTCCTGGCTGGTTTTGTAAGTTGTATTGTTTTTTTTTAAATTCGCGATGTTTAAGTAATGGATATTGATACTACAATATTACTGCCTACTGCTTTGTATGAAACAAACATTTAAGAGCAATGCAGTGAGTGGCATTGAGTTCTGAGGATATCTTCACTACCAAGTATTTGTTACTGAAATACATTTTTTTTAATTTCAGACTGTGGTGCAAGCATACACTATTGGTGTAGTGGTGTCATACTTTGACACATTCATTGTCCTTCAAGCCCTGGGACTCACATTCACTGTGGTTCTGGCTCTGACTTTATTCACATTCAATACAAAGAGGGATTTCTCTTTCGTCGGATATGGGTATAAAACTTATAATGTCAACTAAAATATTGGAAAATCTATATAATTGAACAAAAAGTCTAAAGTAAAAATTTCTCAAACATCATGAAAAATTGTTAAATTTAAAGTGATATAGAATATTTCAGCATAGTTTGACTTACTGATTCGCTTTTGTGGTTGTATGATGTATCTCATATTAATAAATAGGATTATTATTTTTATTGACACAAGAACATAAAAGTATGTTTTTATCTGTTTGCTTGTTAATGTTTAGAAGGGTTATTACCCTTGAATGGTTGTGTACACTGAAACTTTATTAATTTTACAATCCTTCATATATTTATTAATAACATAATATAAGATATATAACATTTGTTTCAGCCTCGTAGCAGGTCTCAGCGTGCTTATTATCGGAGGTATTATTCAAATCTTCCTTCAAAGTTCTGCCTTCGAAATCGCCCTTTCTTTTACCGGAGCTGTATTCTTTGGACTTTTCCTTATCTTTGACACTCAACAGCTTATGACAACTCTATCCCCAGAAGAATATATCCTCGCCACTATCAATTTGTACATGGATATACTAAACCTCTTTCTATACATTTTGCGTATTTTAAACGAACTTAACCGTAACTGAACAGTATTAAGTGTGAATTCTGCTATTGTAAATAAGGCTATATTTTTCAGATACTTCGATATTTTTGTGAAATGGCTGTGAATGCTAAATTCCAAACGTTTTTAAAAATTATTTTACCATCCGACTTTCGTACGATAAATGCGCTCTGTTTTTACTATGGCAGCTTCTGTGTGCTGAAGTAGTTATATATAATTAAGACATTGACATACATTTTTTTAAATCGTAAAAACAAAATAATATATGTTTTATTAGAAAATAAAGAAGCCCCTCTATAAATAGTTTAATTTCCAATTTTGATGGTGGATGTAGAACGAGGTCGGATCCTGAATTTTTGTTATTTCATAGCACAATATCTATTATCTATTACTTCATCGTTATAAACGTGATTATTTTAATAAATTGTTTGGAAATCAAAATTTTTATTATTTTTATCCTATGTACTGCTTTTCACAAGCCTTTTTTTTTTACATCAATAAATTTTACATTGTGTTAGATGAAACTATCAAGTCATGTATCAGTACTATTTCATATATAATTTTGAAGAGGGCAAGCTGTTTAATAGTTTAATCATTGGGTAAATAAAATCATTATCTTCTTAAAAACATTTATTACATTACAATTGATATTTACACAATGACATGACAAAATTTTATTACACTGTAAAATGATAATGATCAATTGAATTATTTACACTTTGATGGCTCCTTGAAATATCACATCATAATAATTATTTCAGATTTTATTTAAAGAACATTAAAAATAAAAATAACATACAAGTTAGAAGCCATTACAGGACTTAATTAGTTAAGTATATTTAACCAACAAAAATTATTCCTTCCTTATATGTGATATATTTTGTATAATTGAACTAGTCACTTAAAAAAATTTTAATTTTATTGGACAGATGTTTCAAACATATGCCTAAAAAACCTTAAATGATAGATGTTTTGAGCCGTTAATTGTTATAAGCAGTTTAACTTTATTGCCCAAGTATACTCTCGAGTACCTCCGTTTCCATTTCTTCTTCAGAATGAATAGAATGTTTTGGTTCACAAGAAGGGTGACATATATCTAAATGAATATCCAGATAATATGCATCCGTGAACGTTTCTGAGCATTGTGGACATTTCAATTCTAAACCTGGATTTGTTATGCTTCTGAAAACAATTTAATTTTAGTTTATACAATATATTTAACACTTAAATATCTAAGAATTATATCCCTTGCGGTTTTAATACAATGCAGTACTTTAAAATACAGTTTGTGTTCTTAAACTAAGAAGCCCAATCGTTAAGAATTGATTCAAATGATTGAGGGACGTCACATTCCACGTTTTCAATGACATTCTGGCTATCAAAACTGGGATAAAAGTCTAAGCTTGATTTACTACAATTCATGGTTGATCGGGTATCATAAGAAAATTGGCTACAACTGGACTCAGTACCATAATAAGTATCTTTGGTAATTAAATAACTTTCTACACGTGTTGGTTCATAGACGTTAGACAACTGAGCATAATCAGATTCTAGTCTATTGTCATTAATTAGTTGCATTTCGTTGGATTCAGGATCTTCTGAACTGGAATTGTAAAAATCTGTATATGTAAAAGATGTTCCTTCTGGCGAGCTGCTGGGATTAACCTTTGTATTGTGATAATTTTGATTTTGCACATCCAAATCAGATAGTAAAGTCACACCATTGTTTGAATTATTTTTATCTTGGATTGGAGTGACTACACCATCAGTTTCTGTAGTTAAGCTATCCGTATTACTAGAAGATTGATAAGTTTGGTTTGAAATTTCAATATTTAAATTCGAGCATTTAAAGGATTCCATAGAAATGTTAGATGTATCGCTCGCCTGATTTGGATGCAGTTGTTCGTTCAAATAAGTATTATCTTGTATCACATTAGTATGTTGCTCAGTAGTATCAAGGGACCTCTCCTCGTCTATATTTATTACAGAAGTATTTTGATCTATTGATGATATATTTATTTTATTTAGTACATAAACAGAATTAGTTAGCTTTGTAGATCCATTATTTATTGATTCAGTGAAAGTAGGTAGTGAATCGGTTAAAGCAGTAGTAGGAATAGTATTTCCACGTTCTCGGTGGTCTAGTTGCCGTTCTGATCGATTCATTGCATTATTTATATCTTGGGCGGTTTCAATAAAAACGGAATCGATATTTTTTGACAATTCATATACTGCACATTCTTTCTGTGTCGACAATTGCAGTGCATCAGTAACTTTATCCTCTTGTATATCTGTTTGGCTTTCGACACCAGGATTAGTTCCAGCACTCGATAGGCTTGATAAAGCAGAATCATTTTGAATTTGAGAATCTTTTGAAAATTCTTCTGTATCACTTCTTTCATAGGTTTCGCTATCAAAATACACTGTATTTATATGGTTATCGCAATCTAGGAAGTTAGGCACTGAAATCGTCTGACGAAGATCCAACATAGACGTATTCGCACTGTCTAAAGAAGATTCATAGCAGATATCCATATTTTTTAATTTATCACCTATTTCATAGAAACTATCACTTTTAGTTTCCATATAGATTGTATGTGTGCAATTTTTATTTGAATATTGATTAGAATTTGTTGTACATTTAAAAGGCGCTCGTTTATGTTTGTCTAGATCTTGGGGTTTGGACCAATCATTTAAGATAGCTTTAAAAGATTGTTCTTTATTACCGGCTTGTGTAACATTAGTTATAAAAGGCCCTATGCTATTAATTTCGTGAGGTTTCATTAAGTGAGTATTTTTATCGCATGGTTCTACGTTTGAGGAGTTGATATTGGTTACTATTTCGTTGTCAAAATGCTGATCTACAGTGGACAGCTGAGCATATACAGGTGACTGAGATTGAGAATCAGATGAATTACTTTGGAAAGCATTATCATTGATAGCTTCTAACATAAATTTTTTTGGTGGATTATGTAATTGGTTGGATAGTTCTATTTTAGTGTGGAGTGAATACAACTCTAATTCGCTGTAACTATCTAGACTGTCATTCCATGAGACAGAAACAGATGTTTCCCCTGAAGATGTGTTTGACACAGAAGAGACATCTTCTATCGCTGGTTGTGGCTCTTTATGAAATCCAATATCAATTAGTTTTACATAAGGGTTAAGACGTTGACGCATAACTTTTAAACGGCTGCTATCATTTTTCAAATCTGCCATAAGAATAGATAATGTATTCAAAAAGAATTTTTTACATACACGAAAACGTTTACCATACACAGTAAAGAAAAATTTATGATTCCGTTTCATACGTGTTTCATTAATATCATGTAAACCTAAAATAGGATTAATAAGAAACACATTTTCGTTAAGATAAGTAGTCTGAGCGTGGATGTCCATCTTCCAAAAGTTTTCAAAAAGAACGCGTCGCTGATCAAATCCTATAACCTGTGTGCATTTATAGGTACAATGTTGACATCCTGGTCTTAGACTTCTAGTTACTTTATACCTAAATATAAACTTATGTCCTTTACCAATAATCCTTTGCAATTTAAAATGATTTGATTTTTTCTGGTAATGCTGTTTAAGATTTCTTTTAGCATCAATCAATAATTGGGATTCAGGATGAAATAAACCTTCAACATAGATTTCTGGTGTATTTTCTGGCACAGTACATTTAGATGACATTTGACTATAATTACTCTCATGAATGGAAATCTGCGATTCTAAAATATTTGAACTACTATGACAATTACTTTCACCATTATCTTTGTTATATGTCAATGAATTCGTAATTGTTAAATGAGACAAATTTGTTTTAACATTTTGCTGTTTTATTATATCTTTGTTACCCATTTGTAGATTGGTATTAGTATGTTCAAATGTATTGGATCTGTTAAAGGCTTGCGCAATTTTAGGATCATTTTCATAACATATCTGTAAATCTGCATGAAATGGATGAGTCAAAGTTTCTATAGATGTTTCTTCTTCAATAGTAGGCCTTGCACTAGCTTCAGCGTAAGTCTGTGGATCATCATTAAGTGCATGAATAATATTTTGACTATTACTATCCCCATAATTAATCTGTGAATCACACAAGTCTTCACAGAAAGCATTTGTAATTTCGATATAAGATGACAGCGGCAGGTTACTACGTCCATTACTTTCATCATTGGACTTCAGCAAATTTTCATTAGATATATGAGGCAAGTGATTTTTAATTTGATCTTGTCTAATACTATGACAACTACTATCTTCATTATGTTTAATTTCAACCGCTATACTTTGTTCATTCTCACTTTCTTTATTGGACAAATCTTCACCAGATAATCGCATTATGTGATTTTGCATATCATTACATTTACTATCATCGTTGGTACATTGTGGGTTGGGATTAAGTGAAAGAGGCAGCGTATTCTCTATTTCTTCTTCAAGATTACTTCCGTCATTAGACGGCACCGAATCTTCCGTAGGTAAATGGGGTAAGTGATCGTCACTTATGTTTCGTGCACTGTCACTATGATAACTACTATCTTCATTATGTTCAATTTCACCCGCCATACTTTGTTCATTCCCACTTGCTTTATTAGACAAATGTTCACCAGATAATCGCATTATGTGATTTTGCATATCATCACATTTACTATCATCGTTGGTACATTGTGGGTTGGCATTAAGTGAAAGAGGCAGCTTATTCTCTATTTCTTCTTCAACATTACTTCCGTCATTAGACGGCACCGAATCTTCCGTAGGTAAATGGGGTAAGTGATCGTCACTTATGTTTCGTGCACTGTCACTATGATAACTACTATCTTCATTATGTTCAATTTCACCCGCCATACTTTGTTCATTCCCACTTGCTTTATTAGACAAATGTTCACCAGATAATCGCATTATGTGATTTTGCATATCATCACATTTACTATCATCGTTGGTACATTGTGGGTTGGGATTAAGTGAAAGAGGCAGCTTATTCTCTATTTCTTCTTCAACATTACTTCCGTCATTAGACGGCACCGAATCTTCCGTAGGTAAATGGGGTAAGTGATCGTCACTGATGTTTCGTGCACTGTCACTATGATAACTACTATCTTCATTATGTTCAATTTCACCCGCCATACTTTGTTCATTCTCACTTTCTTTATTAGACAAATCTTCACCAGATAATCGCATTATGTGATTTTGCATATCATTACATTTACTATCATCGTTGGTACATTGTGGGTTGGGATTAAATGAAAGAGGCAGCTTATTCTCTATTTCTTCTTCAAGATTACTTCCGTCATTAGAAGGCACCGAATCTTCCGTAGGTAAATGGGGTAAGTGATCGTCAATATTGTTTCGTGGACTATGACACGTACTATCTTGATAATTTGTGATTTTTGGATGATTTAAAAGCGGCTGTTTGTTACTTTTTACATATAATTTCGGCAAATCTTCGACAAATGAACAGGGATCCTGACCTTCGATATTATGACTAGTACTGTAATTATTACTTTTCTCATCAGAGGCCTGAAATTCTTCTATAACTAAAGGTAGAGATTTTGTTTTTATCTCACCTTTTAATAATGTTCGACCATTTGTAACATTAGAAATCTGTTGATTTTCATTAGATGGGTGAGCCATTTCTGTTTTTAGTTTTTCTTGCAGAATACTTTGACAATTAATATCTTTGGAGGTCTGAAAATCTTCAAAAGATGAATGGGGCAAATTCGTTTTTACTTCATTTTCTAGAATACTTTGGCTGTCACTATCTTTATTAGGGATATCTAAATCTGTATCAATTCGGCAGGATAAGTTGTTCTTGTCTGACTGATAACTAGGAGATGGATCAACATTTTGAACTAAAGATAAGTTTGAAATATCAATGTTTTGCACCAACTGACTATGAGTTTGAGTTGAATTTGTACTTGATGTTTCTGGAACATCTAAAGAATGCAACTGAGTGTAAAATCCCACATCAATCAGCTTTACGTAAGGGTTTGATCGAGAAAATGAAACTTTATCTGAAGTGCTAACGTTAATTGTTATGTTATTAAATCTATACCGCTTCTTGATATTACTTGCGCCTGAAGCAGAATCGTTTTTGCGAAGTGTAGGTACCCTTTCAAATTTGCTCTTTTTCGAACAAATTTTTAAATTAGGCTCACTCATATGTTTATTGATTTCGGACCTTGTTTGATCAACTAATTTTTTGTGACCATTTTTCATACTATAATGGACTATAGGTGTGTCACCACTAGTCGCATTTGTTTTTATATCACGGTGTATGGAAGAAATGCAACACTTTTCGGCACCATAGTTCCTCTGGGCCATATTGTTGGTTTTCTTTATGACGCAATCATCCCATTGTTTCGTGTCTCCATCGCCATTTGTTTCGTTTTCTTTAAATATATGAATAGTAGATACACATTTAGACAAAGTTTGTTTCTTGTAACAATCAAGTACCTTTGTGTCTTTTTTTCTTACGTTTGAATAATAATCATCAAAAGACATGTTATACTTTCTTAATTCTTTTCTATAACTCAGCATTAAAATTGAAAATGTATCTTCGATAAATTTTCTACATACACGCACCGACTCATTAGAGATAGGTAGAAAAAATCTGTTCCTGGGTAGTAGCTTTCGTGATACTTTCTTAACTACGTTATCGTCGAGAAATTTACTTTGTGCACTAAGATCCATTTTCCAAAAATCTTTAAATTTATTATACCGCAGATGCGATGTAAAAATCTTCCTACAACTAAATTTGCAATCCATTTTACATCCACGTCTTATTTTTCGTGTACTTCTATATCTAAATATAAATTTATTATTAACTCCAACAAGTCTAGGTAAACTTAAGGGCTCAAATGTTTGAGAATTAGCATCACAAGTAACAGAAGAAGGTAGTTCACGTGAAGACGGTTCTTTATCATTGTCACAGCCAATAACATCATTCTCACATTCAACTATAATACTTGTAGACAGTTTAGCAGTTTGCACCTTAGAATTATTTTCAGAAATGTTTACATCTGTTGCTCTCACATATGCTTTTTTCTTAATTGTATGTTTTTCTATCTTGTGAGTTTCGTTGTCATGTAATTTGTAGAAATTGCTAAGATTCATTTCTCCGGTTTCAGTTTGTTTATTTAAGACAGCCGAAATAGAAGAGCACTGTTCATTTATAATATTGCTTTTCAATGCACACGAGGTCTCGGCAATATTTTTCATGTAATTTATAGTCTTGTCACCGGATGTACCAAGAGGTGTTGTGACCAAATTAGCATTTGTAATAGATGCATTTTGGATGACGCGAGGTTCATTGATATTAAACAATGTTAAGGCACTTGAAGCTATGCCTGTTGTGATCTTTTTAGGTATTTGACCGATGGATGTATTTATATTAACAGAAATTGGCTGAACTATGCATGGTTTTTTTAAATTGTCAATGTCATTACTTTCATCTATAAGGTTTATTATTTCATCATTAGCCACTGGATTCAGATTTGTGTTTGCAACATTTAAAGCAAAAGAAGACTTCAATTCAACCTTAGATGACGTCTGACTAGAACTCTTTCCAAAATTTTCATAATTTTCAGTTGAAACATATTTGTCCAGTATATCCAGACAAACAGCCACATTGTCTGAATGAAAGTCGTCGTCGTCATCATCAAACTCTAAGATGGCTATATTTTCCTCCTCTGTGATAGAATTTGATGCATTTAACGGGAGGAAACCAGATGATAATGATTTCTCATGAATGTCATTAAAATCTGAATGTAATAATAAATCTTTACTTGTATCAACTTCAGTGTTTAATGTGCTAAATTCTGAGTTTGATAACTGATTATCATCTTCCTTTGCCATTTGCTTTTCTACACCATCTGCTCTTTTATCAATAGAAATCAGTAAGTCCTCAGCTAGTAGAAATTCATCCAATTCTTCAAAATCTTCATAACTTGAAGCAGTATCAGACTGGTTATCATATAGATAACTACTTTTATAATTTTGTAAGATTGGACTTTGTAGACGTGTTATTTTAACAACCGGATAAGACAACAATTTTCCGATTGCCTTAAATGAGTGTTCCATTGAATAGAAGCCATCATCAGTTTGGCTAGTAACATTGTGTTCCATAACTGAAGATTCAATCAATTTACTTGATTTCTTTTGCAAATCCAAATCAGAGAGAAAATGTTTGTTATATTCCAGTAGCGTATCATCAACTGATTCCAAGTCTGACAAATTATATAAATCATCATCATCACTAGACAAATCGTCACATATGGAGTCCTCCTTCTGAGTAATCACTGCCAACAAAGCTTGATAACACTCATCAATGTTCCCATGTTCCGAGTTTTGGGAAAATATTGTGAATTTTGTAATAACTTCAAGGATTCTCTGAGCTATGTTTGCCATTCTGGAACAAGAATCTTTTATGCAAAACCAATGCATACAACAATGTATTACATAATATGTAAGTTTTACTCATGATTTAAATTCACAATACATCCACTTCCATTATGAGTAAAAAAAGATATCTTACAGCCTCTCCTTGAAGACAATTTTTTTAACATGATATCCAATTGCATTGAAGCCCTTCTATTCTTGAATAATTTAAAAAATATTGTACCCCTTGCATTAAAACCGCAGCTCAGACTCTTAGTATTAATATATAAAAACAATATATGAAATGGTAATAACTGACATTTATTAATTTTAATTACTATGTCAATATAATATGTAATGATGAGATGAGATGTCAACTTGCCTAAAAGACCAAGAGGATAGATATATAATCATATGAAAAGTCTGCTCTGGTACATGAATTTACATCTTAACATTTACAATTTGTTATCAACATGTTTTTGGGCCACACAGTGACACATATTTCTGTCCTACTACAACACTTATTTAACTTCCTACTCTATTCAGATATTAAATATTGTTTACCTTTGAACATCCTCAAGTTTGAGGACTTTTCCAACCTCACTATTCTTAAGGGACTTGCAGCTTCGTCTATGCTGGGATAATTGGTCAAATGTCTCAAAGCTTGTATTGCAGCCGTAGCACACACACATATTATGGCAAGTCTCATGGACCATAAGATCTGTAGATGTCTCAAATCCTAAAAATTATATTTTGATTTAAGAATCTTTAGCACCTACTTGTGTATATGAGCACTACTCAAATATTAACCTAAATTTAAGAATTAAATTGATCTAAGTTTTTGGCTAAAATGTACAAATAAAAAAAATTTAGTATCATACTAAATGTGGGATAATTAAGCACTTAAAGCAGGCTATAGAAACAACTACTTGTCGAATTGAAAACCGCGTCCTTCATTTTTTTAAGTTGGTTAAAATAATATATACAGATTGAGAGAAGGTATCTGATTTTTGAAGCTTGCCAGAAAATGTGTAAATCACATGTTTTATTTAAGTTTAAGTTTGGTTATGAAGAGGTAGGGACTAAATGAATGTTTTGAATTAACATTTACTTACTTCTTTGACAAATTTTACAAACATAATTTAACAAGTTATCTTCTGCGTCATCTATAGTTTTTCTTCTGACCGTTTTGTAGGTGTGTTGAGCAATTACATGGGCCTGAAAATTTGTTAAATGTTTTTAGGGAATATTTATTATATTTAATTATGTAATATGTTCTAAGCTGTTCCAACAACAGAATATGTAATACAAAAACATACCAATTTCACCTTGTATAAGTAAAAATACAATGCAAAGATGGAACTTGAAAAAAAAAGGTATATAAATAAACATATTTTCTAGTTACATTTCTACTAACCTTGAGTCCTGTAAGACTTAAAAATGTTTTGGAACACAAAATGCAGTCTAATGACAAGTCACTAGCATTAGTCTCTGACTCGGCATCACTTACTGGTTCTTCCTTAACTCTAACAATTAAGCACTGAAAACATCATTTTTTTAAATTATTATGAAATATTTGGATAAAATAAAGTCTTATATATAGTCTGAATATGATTCTTTAATCTATTCCAATTTAAATATATTTTCTAGCACTCAGCTTAAACTTAACTTAGACTAAGCAACCAATTTCGAAGCATCAAAGAATGTAGGCAGTGGGGTTTTAACATAAAAGAGTAACTGTTTGCAAGTTTAGCTGTGGATTCTTGAAAAGGTACAGAAGTGGACAATCACAGAATATACATATTATTTAAACAATTATGTTTAAAGTTTCACAACTTCTTACTTTTGCTAATTACTGCTAATTGTAATTTGTCAGTTGAAATTGCTTTATACTTACATTAGTATTAAATGAATCAGCCTTATCATGTTTAGAATTCACAACACCATTTGTTATTGGTCCTTCACTGGTTAAACCTTTGGTTTTGCCATTTTGTTCAACCTCCGGTAGGTATCCATTAATTTCAGCCATTTCTTTATTTAACTGACCAAGAGATATTATACCTACAATCAACAAATATTTCACATAATCAAGATTCTCCTAAGCTTATTACCGAACAAAAAATATGTTGTGTTTTAAATACATATTAAGTTCTTAATATATTTAAAAGCTAATGTGATATACCAATAAATAATTTAAGAAACTTAGTAATTAAGAAAAAACATTATAATTATTCTATTCTACTATTAAAGATAATTAAAATCATAAACAACAGAATCATATTATTATGATCTCTCTAAAATAATTTAACTCATTATTTTAAAAAATTGTATACTGATGATTTTATTTTAATATCTTTTTACCATTTATATGTACAGACTGGCTAGGCCAATCATCTGCTTCAATTTTAACATCAACATTAGAAAAATCTTCTTCATTCATTTGCTGAGTCTCTTCATCCGAAAATATTTCATCTTTAATCTGAACCTTGTCGTAGGGTACATTTTTATCGACTTGTATAGGTTTAGGCCAGCTATCAGGTGTATGTGGATTAACTCCTATCCGCAAACTAAGCACTTCATCTGCTTTTTTAACTATCTCCACAAACTGACAAGCATTTTGCAGATGTTTATAGCAACTTTGACATAGGATTTTAGAATGTGCATCTGTCTGAGATATCTGTAATTTCATACAAAACTATATTTTATGGTAATAGCTAAGTTGTACCTAGCCTAGTTAGGTTTGAAGAATATATTGATTATAACTGTGGTATGTACTAACATTTAGTTTAAATAATAGAAGCCACAATCACCATGTGTGTCACCTACCTGAACACATGCAAGTTTAGATAAGTCCTCTGCTGGAGTGTTTTGCATTCCGGCCCACGGTGGATCCCAGAATTTAAACAAATTGTGTTGCTCTTCGACTGAACATAACTGAAGGCAAGCCCGGCATTCAGCAAGGGAGTCGCTGTTGTTTGCTCCATCCTTTAACATTTTCTTAAAAGGCGCCCTATATAATTATCGCGAATTATTTTCAATCATTCTACAACGATTTTGCATATTAAACTTGGTTGCAAGGGTCACATCATGAAGAAATACATTTTGTTAAATTTAATAACTTCAGATAAATACAGAATAACGATTAACGAGGTACTTGGCAATTATGAATAATAATAAATCGAATTAATGATAATGAAGTCTGTAGAGTAAGGACACAACAAACTATGTGGATTGTGGAATGATGGAGACATTAATCTATTGTAATTCGTATAGGTAGTCTGTGACATAATAAGTCGTGGCGTCTTAGCAAAACAATAAGCAGAGTGCTGCTAGCTGCAACTTTTACTGTTATTACTTGTGATCATTATTTATGTAGATAGATAATTTAATTGCAACCACCTGTTATATATAAGACAGTTCAACCTAGCCAACAAATTCTTCAGTTCAATATTAATACAGATAGCGAATCATGCCTGCCGCAAAATACGCTTGTCTAAATCATAATATTCAAGATGTGATTATGTAAGCCAAAACTTATCTCTTAAGTTTATCTATTACACTCTTAAATTGATGTTTCTTGCAGTTTCAGATGATATTGATATGTTTTTGAAATACATTAGTAGATTTTATACCTATGTACATATTAGTAAAAAATTGTTCTCTGTAAACATACCAAAAACAATAGAAACCAAACTACGAAGTTTGACAACAATATTTCTGAATACGATTATGTAAACTTGGCTTAGTCGTAAGTCGCGTCTCATCTCGTCTCTGAATCTCAGCCTTAGTCACCTGATAAAGGTAGCCTTGAGCTTTAAGACGACTACGTTTTCGAAGGATTGAAGACTAAAGACTGTATAACATAAAATCTACATTATAACATAGTTGTCAAAAAACGATTACAAAGGATAATTTTTACCTTTCATAATTATTTGGTTCTTTTAACTTATTATCTTCAATATCGCACAATTGCGTTGCACGTGGCCCACTAGACGTGGCTTTAATATTCGGTAAATTTTTTGAAGGTATAGCACCATTTTTCAAACGTCTTTTCTTTGCTAAAACATTAACAAGATTATTTATTATTATCTTTAAATTTTAATATTAGTTGTTCAAATTTAAGTTTTTAAAACGGTAACATTGGTCTTCCAGTTGAAATATAAAACATTGAAATTACCTGACATTGATAAAGTAAAATCTTTTTTATCGAAATGTAAACTGCACACATATATATACTTAGTAGCTTGTTTGCGTATATCAAGAATATCAGTCCATTGCTTTGCTAAATCTTTACTTTTCGGAAAGAGGAATAACGAAATCTCTCTAGAACAGGTTGATTTACAATGAGGCACTGAACAAAAACGATGTGATTTGTGTTTTTTTAATTATTGTTTCCATGTCCAATTTTGTTAATCACAAAGTAGCAAAACTTGTTAAATAATTTCGCGAAAAATATAATTTCAATGTATTTAGACAGATACGTACGAGCCCTTTAAACTAGTACTAAATTCCACCACTGGCGTTTACTGTCCTCGTTACTTTATCCCACAGAATAGAACTTAATAAGTATAAGTAATAGTAGTGTATAATATAATGGAGATGTCAGTAGAAAAAGTGCTTTCTAGTGAAGTTGTCAAGTTATTGATTTGAGCTATCGACTGTCAAAAAAACGTGCTAACTGCTAAGGGCATGCGGGTTGTGAAACAGTTTGTTATTTGTATATTATAAATCTAAACTCTTAGGAGAAATTATCGTGTTTGGGTTTTTAAAAGTTCGTTAAAGTTATCTTTATTCATTAATATGGATGAAACAACGCCATCAGTTAGCCTTGTATCATGTATGCATTTTGTTCGCCGTGGTGTAGCCAAGGCTGTACCAGAAAAGGTAAACAATATCGCTAAATTATTTTTTAACACATACATATTTTATTAATTGTCAACTTATAGCCTAAGTACTAGGTTTATACCAAGTTATGTTTTGAACGTTTAAAGTTGTTGTAGTAGTTGCTGTTAAATTCATCTCTTTTACAGATAGAATTGACTGAAAAGGAGCTTGAAAAGATTATAAAACAGACAGCTGACGATTTAAGGTAAAGCTCATACAGTTAATATTAAGACAGAATAAAGCCTGTTGAAAATGAAATGCCAACTGCTATATAAATAGAAATAAATAATGATACTATTGCTATTGGGATTTAGGATAACAGAGCGGGCAGAACAAGGTTTAGATGACAGTGATTCTGAAACAAATGAAGATAATGCTGCTCCAGTACCTGCTGATCCAAATGATGAGTTTAACTTTGCGAAATATGATGATGAAGATAATCTAAGTAAAGTATTTTTCTTGTCATGTTTTTATAATACTATTACATTAATATATTTATAATTGTTTCCAACCGAGAAATATATAGAAGTTACAATATTCTTAACCTATATAGTAATAATAATAATACATTTATTTGTTAAAAAGAATATAAAAGCAAATTTAAAAGTTAATTTCCTTGCTGTATTGCAATACTTATTTGTTGAATGAGAAAAGCGCCTAGCTTTGTTGTTATTACTATTATTGTAATTATCGCCTGTGCACTTGAACTCCACAGCCCAAGTACTCCAAAGGGAACAAAACTAATAACAATAACTATATTCATATTAAGAACAGTTATAATTCATATCTAACTATTTGATGCAGGTAATCCCATAGGTCTAGGAACGATTGCAACCTTACCTAATTTAGGAGACCTAAGTGAAGATGTTCAAATTAGGGTAAGAGTCAATAATCACAGTATACTTAAACATTATAAAATTAAATATTGATTTCTTTGTCCCACTAATATTATTAATATACTTATTTTAAATAGCGTCAAACACAAAGTTACGTAGCCTTGTATTGTGATTTGGGTGAGATTTTGTTCTGCTAGATGTTTTGTGTATTACAGACAGACGGCCCTGACAGTGATGAAGAGGATGATATCATTAAATCAGATGATAACCTATTACTAGTTGGCCATGTTGAGAGTGATGCTAGCATTTTAGAAGTTTATGGTAAGATTTACTATACATATATAAATTTCAGAATTTACAACCAACAAAACAATTATTCCTTCGGTGTCTTTCCAATTGTTTTTATAAACAGGGTTATTGGCAAATTTAATTATTCCCGCTAGAAGGTGATAGGGTGACTATTGGTTTTAATTTTAACCCCATATGTATTATGCAAAAGTGAACCATTTTTGAGTTGAGTACCAATAAACTTTTATCATAAACTGTCTAGACTAACTGAAAAACATTTGGATTGTATTTTGTTTTATATTATTTATTTATCAGAGTTACAATCCAAATTTGTGTTTGTTTATATTTTATTAATTTTAATAATGAATCATTTAGGTTTTAGGCAAAAAGTTGTTGTACATTATCACCAACTTATAATACTTTGTTCTCTTTTAAGTATTTAACAAAGAAGAAGGTTCGTTCTATGTCCACCATGACATAATTCTACCATGGTTCCCGCTGTGTATAGAATGGTTGAGTCATGACCCAACAGATCCACATCCTGGTAAGTAAAGATTAGATATTTCTCTTTTATAAGATAAAATATATATCATACATGTAGTCTTTAAATGTTGTAGAGTTTTTTTAGTGTTGAAACATTGATCAATTAGGAAACCTTATTATACAAATGTGATGTGTGTTGAAATGGTGTTTTTTTTTTTTTTTTTTGGAGTTTATGGCCTGGTATCTAGACCTTTAGGCCAATTGAAATGGTGTGTATAACTGAAACCACAGACAGCTGTGCACCATAGATTACTCATGCTGGAATAAAACTTGTCAAGAAACCAGTGTGTCTAAGTCCTCTGATTAAATTAATACTGTTTTTTTAGGAAACCTTTGTGCTTTGGGTGGCATGGATCCTGTTATACAAGTGTGGGACTTAGACATTGAGAACTGCCTTGAACCAGCATTTAAACTTGGGAAAAAACCGAATAAAAAGAAGAAAATAAAACGAGTGGGACATAAAGACGCCGTGTTAGATCTCTCATGGAATAGAAATTTTTCGTAAGATTTTTTAAAGTTTTCTAGCAAAATTTCAGTACAGTTTTAGAATACTGAGATAATAATGTGTGTCAAAGCTTATAAATTAATTTGATACAGAATTTGAAGTAATTCACATCACTTTATTACTACAACTTAAGATGTTTTAATCTTTCGTGAATTACACGAATATACTTAGTTAATCAAAGGAGGTTGCATGCCTTTTAGATTTTCCTCAAACAATTGTTTAAGTTGGAATGGCATGGGCTTGTTGATTTCATTTTACTGCTAGGTAATTACATTATTAAGTAATTGTGTAAATGTTTAAAGTATATATTGTCTAATTACTATAGCCACGTGCTAGCGAGCGGCTCGGCTGATAATACAGTATTATTGTGGGATCTCGACCAGGGCACGCCTCACACTACATTGGACTACTTTGAAGATAAGGTAATGTCAATAGATATGGATGCATAATTTTGTTACACCTTCACGAGGAATTACAAACACATTGCGTTATAACGAGCTAGCATTAAAATGTGTAAATTTTAAACTTATTGTAAATTGCAATTTAAAAACAAAATGTTGAAATTTCGCTGCATGTAGATTGGTTTAGAGTAATTTTTAAATTCCAAATCTCACACTCATAGGAATTCTTATTAATAACTAATGTTTTAGGCAACATACATACATCTATATATTTAATAAATCAAACAAATGGTATATGATAAGTTCTCAATTAAACATACAAATGTTGGATTACAATGTTTTGTTTATATTTTTTTCGTATAAATATTTCTTTATTAAATAGCTCCGTGAAATTTAAGTGACTTAACTTGTTAGAATGAGTGCCCAGCGATAGATTATATTTTATAAGTATACTTTGTCGCATCCTTATAATACCGCAACTAATAGTTTTGCCCTAATAGGCCCAAAACCCAAACCGTACCTTAATTTTATATATATATATATTTTGTCGATTGATTTTAATTATATGTGCATGCAGAAATATGTCTGCCTCATAAAAATGACATACTGTTCAGGTCCAATCTATAACGTTCCATCCACTGGAAGCGCAAACGCTATTAACAGGCGCGTGCGACGGCCGCGCTCGTGTCACAGATTGTCGTACGCCCACAGCCTGCCGTGAATGGGCGTTGCCTACAGAAATCGAGCGAGTCGTATGGGACAGACATAATCCTTTCTGTTTTGTGGTAAGTTTAGATATTATAAACTGTTTAAGGGGTGTTCAAATCAACTTCCTTTCAAATGAGGACAAACCTTTAACAAATTAGGAACAAATTAAAATAATAAAATCTAATAGATAACGTAACGTAATTTTTGTATGAGAAATTTCAACGGTGTTCGGTACACATACTCTGCAATAGTAATCCTACACAAATTGTATGAAAATTGTACGAATTTGGGTTTTCAATCATCGTATTAACGTAAAGGATTACTTTTAAAACGATTGTGTTTATGTAAAACCCTTTTGCCGCCTTTAATTTGTCGATTGATTTAAATTATTGTTTTTTTTGACCTCATAAATTGCTGATTTACAGCTACTGAACCAAAAATATAACTATATTTTCGCAAATTATTTCATATTATTAATTTAATGTTTAATTTATTAATAAACCCAAGAGAAAGATTTAATACTGAAACTTTCAGATGAGCAACAACACCGGTAAAGTGGCGTATGTCGATTGCAGACAAGATGAACCATTGTGGGTGATCGAGGCTCACGAAAAGGAGGTCACAGGTTACTATCTAAACAATTATAGTTAGGATTGATTTTTTAACAGTAAGAAGTATCCTCAGTAATTAGAAAGACTCCTTTGAAAATGGAACAAATCTCTTCTACTTTTATTTTTAAAAAGCCGGCAACGCACTTGCGAGCCCTCTGGCAGTGTCTATGGGCGGCGGTGTCAGGGGAGCCTCCTGCCCGTTTGCCGAAAATGTATATATAACATAAAGCTTGTAACTGACCAACGTTACGAGGTGAACCAGCGAGAAAGAAACGAGAAGCGTGGGTCTCTGTTTTTAAATAAGTTTGATATCCAATAACTTTTTTTGCTTCTTAATTTGGATTAAACAATAATTGAGTAGAATCAAAGACACCATCAACCTCCCTGTCGGACATCTTGCCAGAGGGTGGCTGAAAAATATGGAGCGCAGAGTCCCCCCCGGCCCCCCAGATACTTAGTACAAAAGTAGTTTAGAAAAAAAAAAAAAAAAAAAAAAAAAAAAAAAAAAAAAAAAAAAAAAAAAAAAGATAATGCTTCTTGTTTTCAGGACTCGTGATTAGTGATAATATTCCCGGTCTCATGATAACAGTGGGTACGGATGCTAAAATGAAGACTTGGGATATATCGAGGTAATTGAATTTACAATGTATAATGTATACCTTAAATCAATAAAAGTTGTGTCCTGCCAAAAAAGAGACTCTTAGCGTTTAACCATATTATTTTATCAGTATTATCATATCAGTTTCGGTACTCTGTAACTCTCTATAATAAGCTTATTAATTAGAAGAATTCAATATGAATACACAAATTAACGGCTACACCACTAACTACTCGACTTTAGGGAGCGTTCAAGTATTATGTAACGTAACGAGTCACTGGGTGGTCACGAAACGTTTTACTATTGTGTACAGAAAAAAGTTACGGCGCGTTTAATGGGTTTAATCAAGAATCTCCAAAAATCGCGTGACGTAATACTTGAACGCTCACTTAGCCACCGAGGCCTTCGGGCCAGTCAGTGGTTAGTCTGGTCGAGGATCCTCTTTAGGTTGAAGGAACTGGTTCACCATCATACCTCCACAGGTTTTTATAGGGAGCTTAGTCAAGATGCCTTTAAAATGACAGTTCGTGTAGACAAATTTTCATAAAATTTTAGTTTTCTACTTTCTACATACGCTACTGTTAAGGCATCTTGACTAAGCCCCCAGTAATTGAAAAAAATGGCTTATTTGCATATAAAATTAATAATACATATTATGTATATTATATGTTGGATATAAATTTTATTATTTCTGTTTCAAATTGAGCTTCTTAGGGTTCATACAGACTATGTAACATATTATAAAACTTGTGTTTTATAACACGTCCACATTATGTAACCTTGTTGTTTAACATTTTAACATAAAACAATACTGTACAGATTAGTACAACATTAGAATAACAATGTTATATAACCATTGTCGGTTGTCGTTCTCCAGTGCTATCCACAATGTCCACACCGAGAGGCTTTGGTGGCTGCGGCAGCGACTGTTGTAATTTTAAATAACAAAAGAAAAATAAAAAAAAACGTAGATGCTGGGTTCGTCCTAGCATACATATCAATAACATGTTTTATAACATTCAGTGTCCACATTACCTGAAACATGTTGTATAACATGTTATGTTATATAGTATGTACGCACCTTTAGCTTTACCTGGCACAGATAATTAAAAGTAAAATTCTAAATTTATGCAGCGCTGCGGTTCAAGTGAGCGAGCGTCAGTGTCGCGTTGGTGCTGCCTTGTGTACCGCGGTTTGTCCTGACGATCCTTTGTCGCTGGCGGTGGGTGGGGATAACAAGCAATGTTGCATTGAAATGGTCGATCTTAGCGCTAGTGAACAAGGTAAGCCCTGGGATCCTTTGATAAGGCCCGTTGCGCAATGTATTTTATTTAACCTCTTTTTGATTGTACATACCATGTGTGTAATACACCATTTAATGAAATAAAGTGTGTAGGAAATAACTGGCCTTCTTTAAAATATTTGTAAATCATCTAAGCTGATGCTACCCATTAGGCTCTAGGACATGAGTGGGTTATTTTTAACACGTCCCATTCAAAAATTATCAAAATCGGCTCACTGTATTTTTCTAGCATAACAATTTTTAATTTCATTTTGTTTTTGCAGTAATAGACCGTTTCGGATCCAGGCCTCGAGTCACCATACCGGTTGAAGATAGTAACTCTATGGAATCATAGTTTATAGACATTTTTCAAAATATATATGTATGTTATCTATATGATGTTTCATTTTCCCTCAACGGCCACAAGTTTTGGAAGATATTGAAACAGATTTTTAGCACATAATATGTATTTAAATTTAATGACTCTGTTATTAAACAAATGAATTGCCATAATTGCAAATAATACATTTTAATCCTTTCTTCATGTGATGTTTTCAGTTCTCACTGCACATCCATATTGTAAAGTGCCAACATTTTATAATTTTGATGGTTGCTCACTGGAACAAAACCATAGCCAATTAACTTCTTTATTACATTAGCTGATAATTTTAAAAGCAAAGCATTAATAGAGAGAGTTTTTATTTCAAACTATATTTTTTGACGAAAAAATAAAACAATAATTGTAACTGAGATTATATTTGCAACAATTATAAGGAACTATAACAAAACAGCTATAAAAAAAGTTCTATATGTGCTCGGATTCCTTTTTCTAAGACAACATGTATAAAACTTTGATTAGATATATTAGGAATCCTTGTACTAAAAGCTATAATTGAAAAACAATACTGCATTAATGTCGTATATCAAGAAATATATAAAAATCTCCAGCTGTCAAAAATATCGACCAAAAATGGTACAATTTTATAATTGAACTTTTATTGCGTCCCTTGCGGCAGTGTACTATCTCACCGAAAAATAAATGGAAACATGAGACCAAAGCATACTGGCGGCTTTAAATAACAGTAAATATAAATTTGTGATTATAATATAAATAATCGCATTTATTCTTCACTGATCATAAAATAATTTATTCTTCTCATTCTATTGAGAATAAAATATTTTCCTATAGTAAAACTTGCTTTATTCCCCTAAAATATTTGATAAAACGCTAGTACGCTTTCGCCCATAATAAAATGCTAGTAAACTCTATATCTATTTTAAAAGCATTAAGGCAAATGGATTCACATTATTAATTTACTACACACAAATGTATATAATATATAAAAAGTTTATCGACCTCTACTGCCTTCTGGTACATAATTGTTTGGGCTTATAAGCTGCCATTTTTTTGTGAATCTATACTTTGATTTCGTTGTTCTACCATTGATCCTACTTAAATATAAGCAAAAATCGCTCAAACGTTTGCTAAATTATATAAACATATAAAAATAAGCGAAATAAACACGATATTCTATTAAGATGCTTTTGGAAGGTTAATTAATAATTAAGACATTTTCATATTATTTTCACCACATCAAGTGGAGACTGGAGAAATGTGTGTTGCCAGACTGTATAACAAAATTTTATAAATTTAATTCAAGAGTTTCAATGTGACCATGTCTCACAATATTATTTTTAAATAAAAACCAGCTGATATTTACAAAATACAAGTATTCAGTTTAATATTTTTTTCAACAAAACTAAGAATGTTCTTCCAAAAGCAGTAATGAAATGTATTTACTCTTGCGCCGGGAACTTGGTGATGGCATCGTGCATGGCCCTTGCCACGTACTCCACGTTTGAGGGGTTTAGTCCACAAATATTAATTCGACCGGATTTGAGGAGATAAATGTGGTGTTCCTGGATTAAATGCTCGCACTGCTTGCTCGTCAGACCCGTGTAAGAGAAAAGACCGATCTGCTTCACTATGTGATCCCAGTTTCCGGGGGTGCCAAGTCTGGAAATGCAATGCACATTTGACGTTTGTAATGTAACAAACATTTTGAAGTTATACTTCTTTTGGCGCGATAGGGAAAAATTATGAGAATACATTTTTAGGATGCGCGCGCACACCGTCACAAAAAACCGACACCCTGAAGTTAGCTATAGTCAACATTTTAGTTTATTTCATACAACTATTGATGCTGTTTTGTACGATATTTAGACAATGTTTCTACAAGAATATATTTTGTATCATACTTTAGCTTTCATAAGCCTCTTGTAACTCACATGTCTACTGAACTCCAACCAAAATAGTAAATACCAATATGTATAAGTTGCATGCTAAAATAATAATTGTCCATTTCTTTAATTATGTAGAAATATATTTTTGTTATATTTAAATAAACTTTATTTAATTAGATAATGCGTTATAACAAAACTTTCAATGTATTAAATACCTTTTTTCTAATGTTATTGTCGTTTTTTCTACAAACGTAGAATCCAATTTTTTTAAAGATATCTTGTTAAGCCAAAGAAATATAACTTCTAACGCGTGTACATACTTATGTACTTACTACTTGTAAGCGTGTATTTTTTTTAAGACTAATTAAGTTGCACTTAAACCGTCTACGTTTTAGTTGTTAAGGCCGTCTCCGCATAACGTTGGAAAAAATGGTTTGACAGACTCTAACTACATATAATATGACGTTCTAGAAAACAGGCCTTTGCATGAGATTCACAGTCCAAATAATGACTCCCTACAAATAATAAAGACTTAATCTCCACTCTGAATCCTACCATTAATATCTAAGTCCAGAGTGTAAATCTAGTAGTAGAAGCTAGTACTAATCTAAAATGTTTTAGTATGTTACTTTAAGATGAAACGCTTGATTGGCCAAATGTGAGAAACAGTTTCACTCCCTCATATAGGTATGTTAACTAAAGCTGGCGGCTTCAACACATTTACACTTTGTGCTTGTGTAGTGTCTGTGAATAAGCGCGAGACGTAATGTCAAACTGAAATACAATCATAAATACATCATGAATAGACTGTCCGTCGTGTATGAGTGGACTAAAATATATAGCTTGGCAAAAAAATCATATTTTGAAACATACTGTATGTGAAATTGCATTTAGTGTGAGTACTGTGAACCCGCCAGCTTTCGATAACCGACCTATACCAGTGCGTAGCTAGCTTTAATTTGTGCTACAAATCAAAAGCAACATACTCATTGCTATTATGATGTGGCGTGGAATGGTTCCAACTTACATATTTCATAGAATCACCATTTCATTACTGTGTCTATGTCTCTTTTCGTCACAGCATGAACACAATTTATCAGTAAAAGGTACGAATCACCTCTTAACTTATTCAATTCATCAACTTATACGAACAATATAATGGTGCTTGATTCCATTTAAAACAAAACTAGAAATTATATTAAGAACTCACTTGATAAGTTCGGCCCTAAGCGCATCCCTCATCTGCATAACACGGGAAGACATCATTTTTATGTGGTCTCTCCTGAAAATTTAACATTACTAATAAATAAAATGTAACAATAATGGAAGTTATCCTTTTTTACGCATAATTTTTATTAGATTATCAAACACTTAATTTTCATGAAACAAATACAATTACATAACTTCAATCCGGTCAAAATCAAGAGTTTGTTAATGTAAATGAGTTATAAAAAGTTATGTACTAATCAAAGACAATAATAATGAAAAAATGCAAAAAGATGACTGAAGGATAACATTTTTTTCTTTAAAGTACAAGACGTTTTAATTATTACTGCGATGTGAGAGAATGTTTTGATAGTTGAAAATGCAAAACGCAGAGTTTGAATTTTGCGATAAGTCCATCTGGTAAAACGCGGACATGTTATTGTTTCGATATTGACATAACATTTTGTTAGCTAACAAAACGACACACTACAGTTTAAATGCATCAATCACAAAATTACAATAAAAAATAAATAAGATGAATGAAGGTTAACATTTTTTGTGTGATGAATTTTTGTAAAGAACGAGGTAAATCATTTATTTCAATTAGGCACATTTGAAGGTCAAAATTACAAGATAAAACTATTTAAAAAAAAAATGATTCTATGTCCAAAAGGTAGTTTTAATTATGGTGAAAAATGGGCAAGAAACTCCATACTTCTAAACATTTTTTACAATATTTTGTGTACATAAATTTGAGAATTATATGTGAAGACCATAATGTTTGGTTACTGGAGCCAATATTCTAAGCATGTATATTATATGTAAAGTGATATTTTCACTTATTGAATAAAAGCCAAGTTTTACTTTTAGGTAATGCACTAAGGGAATGCATTTAAATAAAGTGTAGATAAAATACAATATATTTACATTTCTTGATACGCTAATTTATATGTGGGTTCAACAACTTACGTTATCGAGAATATCATTCAAATGACATTACTTTATTGAAACTTATCAGTAACATAAACATGTTTTTTGTTTATAATAAATTAAAAAAAGTCTACTAATGTATATGCCTGTATATATACAATATACATATATTTGATATTGTAACGAGTATTAACAATTATGAAATAAATAATAAAGGTTGTTATTTTAATTTATTATTTGTTTTAATTGAGCCTAATGGGAGATAGAGGGCACGTAATAGTTCATAGGACCCCTTGGTTGGAGTGCCTGGCGACCGGCCATCATAAGGGCGTGTAAAGGGTTGAGGTGTTTTTAGTGGATGGGGTCTCGCTACCCCTCTGAATAGCAGAGGGATTTGAGTGTAGACCCAGCCCCACAGTCCCCGCGTCAAGCTCGACATCCTTGGCGCGGGCCTGCGTAAGCGCATTTTTCACCTCATTTAAAAAGAAGTTCATAGTACTATAAGGTGCACAATAATTAATCAATCTATTTTCTCTAGGAATATAAAACACAGATATTAGTTTGGAAAAGGCCCTCGATCAAATTTAGTATTATCAGTGTCGTTTAACATAATTATTTAACATTATTTTTATTTTACGATTATAATTATCTCATGATCATTGCTCCACTAAAATTCATAATAACTGTTTTTGTTGACTTTTATTGAAAACATATGACCTCACCTTACCTTAAGACTCGCAACACATGCGAGGCTCTTGTATTGTAAGTTTCCATAGGCGATATTTGTTACCATCACTTACCACCGTTTGCCCTGTTCTATATAAAAGCCCACACTGGAAACCGGACATTCAGTTGAGTTTCAATATGCTCACCATTCATCGAAGAGCTTTTTATCGGCCAGGACATTGGCGACTACTCTCGCACCATGGGCGGGTGGGTTCGAATACATCCCACGAACCACCCACGTCAGTTGGGACTTCATGGCTGGGATCAGCTTTGGATCGTTTACCACCACGCTTAGGTTACCCACACGCTCATCTAGAAAATAAAACGTTATTTGTGATGAGGAGAATTCAAACAACTCCAAAGATCATACAGCTCATGTTGCAGAAAAAGAAAAGGTGATTATTGACAAAACCTTTATTTATTAAGTAAATAGTCCCACATACTCTCTCACAAACACATACGTACGCACAGACCCACCCATATTTATAAGGGAATCTATTTTAATAGGACATAATACATTTGGTTTTATAATTTTTATAAGCTGTTGGTTACCTAAATAAAAAAAAAGGGTGCGTGTACTTATGTACGCGCGTAAGAAGTTATACTTCTTTGGCATTATTAAAAATAGTTTTTGATTGCATGCAAATAATTAATTACAATTAAATAATCAAAGACTGGAAAAGGAGTCATTATAGTCAATAAAGTTCAGTTTACATTTGAAAAATTAAATAAATAAATATTTATTATTATTCTCTTACATTTGTACAATGTAACATAAATTCTATTATTATTCGAATGTTGTTTTTAAATTATGTCTAATGCCGTAGCATCTTCAGTGGGCAACTTTATCCTGTTAATTTTGTGTCACGGTGCGCGCGCATCGTAAAATTTCACTCTCATCAATTTTTCATAATGTGCCTAAAGAAGTATAACTTCAAAAATAAAATATAGTGTAGACATCTCTCTGTTATTTATAAATCCATTAATGTTAATAAAACGCGTTTTTTATTATCTTTACAAGTTATTGCGACAAAAAGAATGATATTCTTATAAATTGTAATTTAATTTTAAATATACATACTTTAAAAAAAAAAAAAAAAAAAAAAAAAAAAAAAAAAAAAAAAAAAAAAAAAAAAAAAAAAAAAAAAAAAAAAAAAAAAAAAAAAAAAAAAAAAAAAAAAAAAAAAAAAAAAAAAAAAAAAAAAAAAAAAAAAAAAAAAAAAAAAAAAAAAAAAAAAAAAAAAAAAAAAAAAAAAAAAAAAAAAAAAAAAAAAAACACCCCCCCCCCCCCCCCCAAACAACCCCAAAAACCCCAAACACCCCACCAAAAAAACAACCCACCCCCCCCCCCCCCCCACCCCCCCCCCCCCCCAAACCCCCCCCCCCCCCCCCCCCCCCCCCCCCCCCACCCCCCCCCCCCCCCCCCCCCCCCCCCCCCCCCCCCCCCCCCCCCCCCCCCCCCCCCCCCCCCCCCCCCCCCCCCCCCCCCCCCCCCCCCCCCCCCCCCCCCCCCCCCCCCCCCCCCCCCCCCCCCCCCCCCCCCCCCCCCCCCCCCCCCCCCAAAAAAAACCAACAAAAACAACCCAAAAAAAAAAAAAACACCCCCAAACCAAAAAACCCCAAAAAAAAAAAAAAAAAAAAAAAAAAAAAAAAAAAAAAAAAAAAAAAAAACAAAAAAAAAAAAAACAAAAAAAAAAAAAAAAAAAAAAAAAAAAAAAAAAAAAAAAAAAAAAAAAAAAAAAAAAAAACAAAAAACAAAAAAAAAAAAAAAAAAAAAAAAAACCACCAAAAAAAAAAAAAAAAAAAAAAAAAAAAACAAAAAAACAACACCCCCCCCCCCCCCCCCCCCCCCCCCCCCCCCCCCCCCCCCCCCCCCCCCCCCCCCCCCCCCCCCCCCCCCCCCCCCCCCCCCCCCCCCCCCCCCCCCCCCAACACCAAACCAAAACCACCCCCAAAAACAAAAAAAACAAAACCCAAAAAAAAAAAAAAAAAAAAAAAAAAAAAAAAAAAAAAAACAAAAAAAAAACAAAAAAAAAAAAAAAAAAAAAAAAAACAAAAAAAAAAAACAAAAAAACCAAAAACAAAACCCAACCAACACCAACCAAAAACCCCACACACACAACCCAAACACCAAAACAACAAAAAAAAAAAAACAACCCAAAAAAAAAAACCCCCCCCCCCCCCCCCCCCACCACCACCCCAAGAAGGAGCCCCCCCCCCCCCCCCCCCCCCCCCCGCCCCCCCCCCCCCCCCCAAAACCCCCCCCCCCCCCCCTTTTTTTTTAATAACCCATTTTTTTTTTTTTTCCCCCCCCCCCAACACCCCCCCCCTTTTTTTTCCCCCTTTTTCCCCCCCCCTCTCCCCCCCCTTTTTTTTTCCCTTTTTCCTCCCCCCCCCCCCCCCCCCCTCCCCTTTTTTTTTCTCCCCCTCACCCCCCCCCCCCCCCCCCCCGGCCCCATTTTTTTTCTTTTTTTTCTCTTTTTTTTCCCTTTTTTTTTTTTTTTCTCCTTCCTTCCCCCCCCCTTTTCCCCTTTTTTTTCCCCCTTTTCCCCCCCCCCCCCCCCCCCCCCCCCCCCCCCCCCCCCCCCCCCCCAACCCCCCCTCTTTTTACCCCCCCCCCCCACCCCCCCCTCTTTACCCCCCTTTTTTTTTTTATCTTTTATCTTTTAAAAAAAAAAAAATAACTTTAAACCTAAAAAATATAATTAATTTAAAAGCGCCCAAAACGCCGCAACCCTTTTTTATCTACCCCCCCCCTTTGGGGGCGATTTCCCCCCCCCCCCCCCCCCCCCCCCCCCCCCCCCCCCCCCGCCCCCCCCCCCCCCCCCCCGGGGGGGGGGGCGGGGGTTTTTGGGGGGGGGGGGGGGGGGGGGGGGTGGGGGGCGGGGGGGGGGCGGGTTTTGGTTTTTGCGGCCCCCCTCCCCCCCCCCCCCCCCCCCCCCCCCCCCCCCCCCCCCCCCCCCCCCCCCCCCCCCCCTTTCCCCCTTTTTCCCCCCCCCCCCCCCCCCCCCCCCCCCCCCCCCCCCCCCCCCCCCCCCCCCCCCCCCCCCCCCCCTGGCCCGCGCCCCCCCCCCCCCCCCCCCCCCGGGGGGGGTTGGCCCCCCCCCCCCCCCCCCCCCCCCCCCCCCCCCCCCCCCCCCCCCCCCCCCCCCCCCCCCCGGGGGCCCCCCCCCCCCCCCCCCCCCCCCCCCTCCCCCCCCCTCCCCCCCCCCCCCTTTTTTTTTTTTTTTTTTTGCCGGGGGGGGGGGGGGGTTTTTTTCTTTTTTTTTTTTTTTTTTTCTTTTTTTTTTTTTTTTTTTTTTTTTTTTTTTTTTTTTTTTTTTTTTTTTTTTTTTTTTTTTTTTTTTTTTTTTTTTTTTCCCCCCCCCCGCCCCCCTCCCCCCCCCCCCCCCCCTTTCCCCCCCCTTCCCTTTCCCCTTTTTTTTTTTTTTTGGGGTGCCCCTTCCCGCCCCCCCCCCTTTGGGGGGGGCCCCCCCCCCCCCCCCCCCCCCCCCCCCTCCCCCCCCCCCCCCCCCCCCCCCCCTCCCCCCCCCCCCCCCCCCCCCCCCCCCGGGGGGGGGGGGGGGGGGGGTTTGCCGGGGGGGGGGGGGGGGGCCCCTCTTTTTTCCCCCCCTTTCCCCCCCCTTTCTCCCCCTTTTCTTTCCCCCCTTTTTTTTTTTTTTTTTTTTTTTTTTTTTTTTTTTTTTCTTTTTTTTTTTTTTTTTTTTTTTTTTTTTTTTTTTTTTTTTTTTTTTTTTTTCTTTTTTCCCCCCTCCCTCTTCCCCCCCCCCCCCTCCCCCCCCCCCCCCCCCCCTTTTTCCCCTTCCCTTTCCCTTTCCCCCCCCCTTCCCCCCCCCCCCCCCCCCCCCCCCCCCCCCCCCCCCCCCCCTTTCCCCCCCCCCCCCCCCCCCCCCTTCCTTCTCCCTTTTTTTTTTTTTCTTTCCCCCCCCTTTTTTTTTCTTTTTTTTCCTTTTTCCTTTTTTTTTTTCCTTTTTTTTCCTCCTTTCTGGGGGGGGGGGGGGGGGGTTTTTTTTTTTTTTTCCCCCCCCCCCCCCCCTTTTCTTTTTTTCCCCCCCCCCCCCCGCCCGGGGGGGTTTTTTTTTTTTTTTCCCCCCCCCCCCCCCCCCCTTCTCGCCCCCCCCCCCCCCCCCTTTTTCCCCCCCTTTTTTTTTTTTTTTTTTTCCTTTCTCTTTTCCTTCTTTTTTTGGTTTGGGTTTGGGTTGGGGGGGGGGGGGTTGTGTTGGGGTTGGTTTTTGTTTTTTTTTTTCTTGGTTTTTTTTGTTTTTTTTTTAGGGGTTTTTTTGGTTTTTTTTCCCAAAATTACACCCCCCACAATTTTCTTTTTTTTTTCCTTTTTTTCCCCCTTTCCCCCCTTTTTTTTTTTCTCTTTTTTCCTTTTTTTCTCTTTTTTTTTTTTTTTTTTTTTTTTCTTTTTTTTTTTCTGTTTTTTTTTTTTTGGTTTCTTTTTCTTTCCTTTTTTTTTTCCCTTGGGTTTTTTGTTGGTTTTTTTCTGGGGGCGCGGTGTTCGGGGTGTGTTGGCGGCGTTTGTGGGTCGGGTTCGCTCGTTTCTCCTTTCCTCTTTTTTTCCCTCCTTTTCTTTTTGCTCGTTTTTGGGGGTGGGGGTTTTGGGTTTGGCTGGGGGGGTTTTCCCCTTTTCCCTTTTTTTTTTTTTTTCTTTCTTCCTCCCCCCCCCCCCCCCTCTTCTTTTTTTTTTTTTCTTTTTTCTTTGGGGGGTTTCTTGGGGCGCCGGCCCGGGAAGGGGGGTTTTTTGTTTTTTTTGCTTTTTCTTTTTTGTTTTTTTGGGGGGGGGGGATTTGTTTTGGTGCCGGCCCAGAAATGGGGGGGTTTTTTTTTTTTTTTTTTTTTTTTTTTTTTTTTTTCCCCCCCCCCGAGGGGGGGGGGAATCATTTTTCCGCCCGGTGGGGGTTTTTTTTCCTTGGGGGAAAAAATAAAAAATTTGTGGCCCCCCCCCCTCCGGAACAATATACATACTACATCCATCATGTAAACCATAATATCTATAAACGTGTCTCTTTTCAATGTAATATGAGAGAAAGAGATGTGTGTGCTAGTCAAAATTGTCTAATTAGATACTGACTGTATAAGCCAAAATTCTTGGCGTATGACTGTGCGCAAACAAGTTCGAATCCTCTCTTCACGAAGTACCTCACGGCCCACGCGTCGCTATCTAAGTCTCCAGACGCGAATCCTTGGTACGCACTGTCGAAGAACGGGAACAATTTGCGTTCCTACGACAATACACATAATAAATACCGGGCGTATAAATCGTAAACCCAAGGTTAGCTCCCGGCAAAATAATGTTTCGGGCTGGTAGGCTCAGGCTAATCACCTACTATCGCGTTTAATGAACAATAAACCAGGCAATTATTTGTTGTTAAGAGGTAGTGGGAACCATTATTAATACCATTTATAAAGGTTTTTAATAAAAAAGGTTCTATAAATTCACACTTTGGCTTTTATTAAGATACATGTATAATACCAGCCGTTGCTACGAGCCATATTTCTCAATAAAGAGCTTTCGATGAAAAAAATAGTCACGGGCTGTGTTTGCCATAAAAATGGTGATGCAACGACCACGAATGATGCCTATCTTGCGATAACGTCGGGCCTAGCATGAAGGTCAAAGTTCATATAAGCTGCATGTATAGTATATTAAAAGACATACATTCGTAAGCATGATATATTATTAGCATAGTATATTTGCTTTCGCATTTAAATACGTTTAATGGCCTCAAGTTATTTTTCGCGTATTTCTTATTTAATAAGGTAACCTATTTTGACTGACTGACTTTATAACAAAACATTTGAATTATAAAATTTAAACATTTTCAGTCTGGCGAAATTATTTTTCTGAATCAACTGCATGCCACAATTTCTAATTAAAAAAGTTGAATACGGCTTACGCCCTTCATATTGTGATGTGATATAACCATCCTCTATTTTCGAATATGGATTATAACAGTATTAAAACAAATTATATCAATAATTGCTTCTATCATTATAATGTTCCATTAATGAATAATAAAGTAATATTGTTTACGTTAAAAGCCTGGTATTTTAACTTACCTCCATAACATCAGCGATCTTAATCCATTGTTCATGAGTCGGGTCTATTCCAGTAGGATTATGCGCACACGCATGTAACAGTATGACCGAGTTCTCAGGTGCATTCTTTAGGTCTTCGATCATTCCATCGAAGTCTATAGCTCGGGTCTTGGGGTTCCAGTACCTGTAAACGCGCGGCTGTGTGAAGCCAGAGTTTACGAAGACCAAGTGGTGATTTTCTGAAAGCAAATAATAATAATTATTAGAAAATAATATAGTTTTATATTTAGAGCTCAGTTTTAAGGCATACCAGTTTTGCGCAATTCTTCGCATTTTATCAGAGATTTTTGCCTGCCATTGAAAGCTTGGGTGTTTCACTAACCATAACTTCAAAATTATATTTCATGTACGCGAGACCCACACGTTTAAATAAAACTACTTTAACGAAAATAATTTCAAGTTTTAGGTTCTTGTAAATCTACATTATTTAGGTAAAAAATGACCCGCTTTAAGCACCTTTAGACTATAGGTACCTAACGGGACTTTGATATATCACGTATGTTCATCACATTTTGCGTTACAGCAGATATTTTAATCTTACTTAAAATTTCTGCAGTATCAAAATATTCACTCATAATTTAGATATACGTATTACACAATGACTTGTTCAAATCCGATACAATTTTACGTAATAAAAACATAAATGATGAAATACGATAAACATTTGTTACAAAAGTGGTTCTAATCAGACTTAATCATAATAAGAATATTTATGTTGTAGGATTTTAAAGCGATAAGATTAATTAGATATTATTTTTACTTAGCCGACAATACGAATGTTTTATTTTAAAATTAAAACTCACTACTAATTAAAAAGTAATCACATAATTTTCAGTTTCCGTATGGGGTCAAAAATGTCCTTATACATTCCTCAGTAAATGTCTTTACTTTAAGATGAGGCTAAATATATATTAGGTTATATAAATTAAGCCAATTTAATATCAAAACAACAAATTGTGTTGCATAGCTATGTTTGTTGAGCAATGAAGAAAGTAACAAAATTCTGTTAGGAGAAAGTGGTCCATTGTTAGTTTAAAACTTTCCACATCATAAGATATTTTCTCTGAAACTAATACAATAAGCTAATTTTTAAAACCAATCATATTACTAATGATATAAAGATTTTTTTTTTTAATAAAAATTACTTTTCCTTTACATTTTTGAAGTGTTTAAAATAACTACAGCTTACCCCATGTTGGGTTGGAGTAATAGAATGTGGTGTATTTAAGATGCTTGTTCAAAAATTCTGCACCAATTCTCAGACCACCGGTGCCAGATAGAACTTGGATACCAAAGGTCTGTAAAAACATTAAATGAATTCGGCAAATCAGAGATAAGGTCAAATTTTATGTTCCAAAAGGTAATACAAAATCAAAACAACTGAGCGATCATAACTTTGAACAAATGGACTTAACTGAAAGTAAGTGTATGAAAAAAACAAATACTTTTGCAAAAATATTTAATTAAAAAATTTCAATAAACATACAAAAAACACTCACCTTTCCTTCAGAGATGGCAGAACTATCTTCACCCAATAGCATAGAAACAGAGAGGTTACTGAACTGCTCAAGACCTAAGACAAATATATAATTTACTCCACTTCAAAGTCAAGTTAAAACTTAAAAGTGAACATAATTTTTTCCCAAAAATGTAATACTTATTATCCATTTAAATTAAACTATTTCATGATAAGCAAGTATTTTTCCTAAAATTGTTAATAATAAAAACACAAACATAATTAAATTGAGATATATATATATATATATATATATTTTATATATTTTTTTTTATTAAACAACATATGTCAATTTTGGTCTTATAAATAATCATAGGCCTCAAAAATTAACGTAAAATTTTACTGAATATAAATAATATTTACAAATACTTCTAGAACCTAATTGGGTAACTAAAAATAGATTTTGTTGTTTTACCAAGAACAGGAAGATATTCATGTAAAAGAGTTTCATCAGCTGCCATCAGCTTCTCCATTTTCTGAACAACAGGGAGGACCCATGGTTTACCAGTTTCATCTCTGTATGCTAAAAAACATACAGTTTGATTTTAATGTGAACTATTCTAATTTATTTAAAAAAGATATTTAAGAAAACGCAAACGCAATCGCAATTACACAAAATTCAAGATACACTTGCATGCGAAGAAAATTTTGGTGACAATTTTATTGGGCGAGGAAAACAACAGTTTCATCTATCGGTGTTTATTTAAGACGCTATTAATACGACAACGTCAATTTACCGGCTTCCAGTAATGAATACATTACATAACAATAGGAAACTGTATTTTTTTTAAATACAATATTTATATAACTTACCACCAACTCCCAAATTTACTTTATTTTTATTCGTATCGTCTGTAAAGAGTTTATTAAGCTGGAAAACCTCAATTGGCGGGCCTTGTTCAACAACCGCGAAACGAGAGCTCATTTTGTGTTGATAAAAATTTCAACTGATCAACACAAGCTATATGCACAAGTGGCTAAATAAAACTAAAGAAAACGGTAATTTAAGCAGATAAGCCAAATTCTAATTGAATATTCGCAAACTTCGCACTGTACCAGTTAATAGTTATCTTCTATTTTGACCAATTTGACCTTTCTCACTTAGCAATGTCATGAGTGTCAACAGGCCGGACCGGTATGTCTAAAGCAGCTGATCACAACAGACTATTAATAAAGGTTTTATGTATTAATATTAGTCCATTGAAATGTTACATTTTTTAGGCCTAACCTTGCGTTTTTTAGAGGACGCAATTTTATTTTTTTGATGTGTAGGGGGGGTCAGTGTAAAGCTAAAACCAAGTTTGTGGGGTCGCCACCCTTGTCCCACGGCCGCCATCTTGAAAATAGTGGTTGAAACGGTTTTTATGATAAATCTCTTAAACTATTTATTTGATAAAAAAATTTGTTACCATTTTTTGTTGCAAATTAAATTCTCAACAACTTTGGTCCAGTAACTTTTTATCGTAAAACTATAAATAAAAAAGTTATAAGCGAAAATCTTCAGAAATTCGAGAAAAAAATTTATATTTTTCGATATAACTTTTTTTTTATCATTTTACGAAAAAATAATATCAGACCTTTTTTGTAGATCGTTTTTTGGGGAACAACTTTTATTTGCATCATTTTTTCATTAAGTTAATAGCTAAGGTTTTACAGCGCTCCGATAGTCCATTGAAATGTTAAAATTTGAGGGCCAAACTTAACATTTGTTAGAGGACGCAATGTTATTTATGGGAACTGTAGGGGCGGTCAATACAAGCTTAACCTCAAGTTTGTGGGGTTGGCGTGCTTGTCCCCCGGCCGCCATCTTGGAAAAGGGGTCCAAAAACCAAGTTTTTGGGCTATATCTCCTAAACTATCCATCGTACATAAAACTTGTAATGACACATTTTGTAGCAAATCGCTGTGTCTACAATTATGTCTCTTTATGTCGTCTCTTTAATTATGTCGAAGATTACCATATCAGCAAGTTGTCTGTGGAATAGGCCTACTAGGAATACCAATAAGTAAAATTGTAGGAATAAAAAAAAATAAAAAAAATGATTTAGAAAATTTGTTTAAAATAAACGAGAGATCTTAAAAGTAAGGTAAAACTGCTGTTTTGATCGGCTTGTCATGAGCATTGACGCACCTAGTCAACTTTAGAAATAGGAAATATTTTCACTTTTTTACTTATAACTTTTTGAATTTTGGATTTATGATAAAAAGTTACATAGACATAATCGTAGACACAGCGATTTGCTACAAAATGTGTCTTTACAAGTTTTATGTACGATTGATAGTTTAGGAGATATAGCCAAAAACGTGGTTTTTGGACCCCTTTATCCAAGATGGCGGCCGGGGTACAAGCACGCCAACCCCACAAACTTGGAGTTAAGCTTGTATTGACCCCCCCTACATGTTCCATAAATAAAATTGCGTCCTCTAAAAAACGCAACCCCAAATGTAACTTTTCATATAGGGGAAGGTCGGGACCCTTCGTACGGTTTTCACATTTTATTTTTTATTTTTTTTCTTTTTCCATGAATCAATCATCTGATAGCTTAAATTTATAGTCTTACTATCTGAGATTCATATTAAAAATGACAAATGATTTCATCTGATGTTTCAACCATAATTATGATTTAAACTAAATCTGGAATACGTACGAATCTGCTCCATCAACGGGGCACCTTCGTACAGTGTTGGGGGTACATTCGTACGCTGTGGGTAGTTCCGTACGTGCGATTAAAACGACACATATAAATCAAAATTCATTTATTAGCAATGAAATTAAACACAAAAATAAAGATTTAACTTCTATTAAACAAAAATAAAATAGTTTTCTTATAGTGAACAAAAATTACATAGCTTTTCTTAAGTAAAACAAAATTTAATTAGTTAGGTATCTTAAATTTAGAATCACATTATTTAATCTTTGGTGCGGATTAGCACTTCTTATTTTCGGGTGTGCAGTATAAATTGTGTTTTCCTGGCCGTCGTCGCCATTTTGTTTGTTTTATTACTTCTTACAACATGCGGATAGGGTCGAAACGCTTCTGGTGACAAAACGACTTCGAAGGAACTACTATTTGATGGATTGGTAAATTATTCAAAGCATCTGGTTCACAAGCATCAAAATCAACCTTAATAAAGATAATAAAAATAGGTATTAATATATATTTACATCGACGATAGCAATGATAGCAACACAGGACAAAGTTAATGCAAATATTAGCAATTAGCACACTAACACAATCTTTCCTACTACCAGAGGGTTTAGTCAAGATGCCTTAACGTAGTGTATGTAGCAGTCGAAAACTTAATTTGTATGAAAATGACAGTTCGTGTCGACAAAATATTTTCATACAAATTTAGATGTACAATTGTTCAAATGTGCCCCATCTAGTGCTGTCCGAAAGTACCCCACTAACTGAATAACAACAAAATATAACGAATTTTAATATTAATAGGAAGACGTCATAAATTAAGTATTGAGACGTATCTTAAGTATATTTTGCTAGTTACTTATAGAATACTCTACACGAAAACTTATTTTATCTACGGTAACAAGAGACAAAAACATTGATCAAAAAATTACATACCGAACGCGAAAACACGTATTCCTGTAACTTTACTCTCATCGGTGCGAATTTCGCGAAACTTCGGTGATGTATAGTTGGTACCTCGACTCATGCACACATACAAAAACAAGACTGTACTTTGTTTCGTACAAGTTTTATTTTGACTGTATGAATGTGCCCCCGTACGAAAGGGTAACGATCTTCCCCTATACGGTCTCAAGAAAAGTCAAAGGATATTTAAACCAAATAAAACAATTATTTTATTAATGTATCAAAAGGCGAGAAAAGATACATAATTACTAGCAATACTATGCTTCATCAAAATATTTTAACAATCAATGTTTGGGGTTGTTTGGTTGTTAAAATAAAACTCCCTAATTGTTTGTAGAGAAGAGGTGAAGATGGAAATGAATTTTATTTTCAAAACTATGTACATTTATACCTTTTTTTATTTTTTTGGAATGGAATCTCGCTGTTGGCCTTAAGGGCCTTTACAGCTCAGCTCGGGCTGTTTTGGCGAGCGTAACTCATGACAAGCTGAAAGACATGCCGCTATCGAGCGTGACTCCTAGATATTTGTCGGAATTTTGCCAAGGAATGGCTTGCCCGTATAGGGTTACCTCTTTTTTGAGGCGGAATTTTACCCGAGAATGAGCGAGAGCACCGGGGTTTCCCCTGGCAAAGAGAACTGCGACGCTTTTCTCGGGATTTATTTGGAAGCCCCATTTCCGAAACCATTCGCCTAGCGACGTGGTTGCGGTCTGGAGTCTATCCACGATGACACCTCTGTCTTTGTGGGTGGTATAGAGAGCGGTGTCATCGGCATAGAGGGCTAGCTCCATATTGGGAGCCCTAGGGATGTCGCCGGTAAACAGCGTGAAATGAAGAGGCGAGAGGACCGAGCCCTGAGGGACTCCGGCCCTGATGGGTCGAGGGGACGATAACGTTCCTTCTACACGATAGCGCATCGAGCGGTCAGACAAGAAGTCGTGTACGATACGCACGAGTCTTAGTGGCACTTGAAGGTGGTAGAGCTTGTAAACCAAGCCGTTGTGCCACACCTTGTTGAAAGCCTTCGCTATGTTGAAGAAGAGCGCACCCGTGGCTTTCGGTTTTAGGGAGCTGTTCATCGCAGAAAGGATGTGCTCCGTGAACCGATGGACTTGATGGATGCACGAGTGGGCTGGCTTGAAGCCAAGCTGCTCATCGGGAATGAGGTCCTTTTCTAGGGCAAAGTCTAGGAGGCGTTTTTTGACTACCTTCTCGTACAGCTGCCTCAGCGTGTTGAGAAGGCTGATAAGACGGTAACTGGTAGGGTTGTTACGGGGCTTGCCTGGTTTGTGAATAGCAATTACAATGGCTCCACTGCGCCGGGAAGGTGCAGTTTTCGTGAAGGCACTTAAATATGGGCACTAGTAAGCATATCAGATGGGGCGGGAGGCGTCGAAAGACTTTGTTCGCGATGATTTTCGAGGCAGTGAACTCTTGATTAGAGTTTTGACCTCGGCATAAAAATTATAATGGTTGCAATGGGCGGCCTTATCGCTAACAAGCGATCTCTTCCAGGCAACCATAGTAAGGGAAAAACTAAAAAAAAATAATATGATGAGTAACGCTGGCCATAGACGGACCGCATGTTGCAGTCGATACCGACTGCTCTAAGCGGTCGCCGCACGGCGAACTGCAGTTTCCATACTAAATTCATATCCGCCACACACGGACTGCACGACCAGTTTCTGAGCGGTCGGAGCAGTCGCTCTGCGGTCGAGTTCCGCCGTGCGGTCGACTGCTTAGAGCTGCCGGACCCACCATACACGGACCGCTACAAGCGGTTGCTGCCGACCGCGCGCCTCTCCCTCAAATAAAATAAAATACTAACTAATTCATCAAAATGAAACCACGGACATTATAAAGTAGTTGAAAAATATTTTAGTGTCTTCTCTAAGCTGGGGATACAAAGTATGAAATATTCCATGCTGTTCTCTTGATTGTAGTATTGGACGCACCCACATACTACGGTGTCTTCTACGTCTGCGCTTGCGTAATAATAGTACAAGTAGCAGTGTTTCTTCATCAAATTCCATCTTGTAAATGAACTCGCATCAGTATTATTTTGCGGTCGAACACAACTGCTCCAAGCAGTCGTAGCCGACTGCATTATGCGGTCGTGTTGCAGTCGTGTACGACTTCAACGCGACCTCTCTAGAGCAGTCGGTCTCGACTGCAACATGCGGTCCGTCTATGGCCAGCGTAAAGCGCATGAAGTGCATAACCAAATGTTATATAAAAAATATATAAACCTTAATCTAAAGTAATACAAAAAAATATTATTAAAACAAACAAAAAACTGAATTTGATCATGAATGGTGAGATCTCACTGATTCATGAATGGCGATGCAATACGAAAGAAAAGGAAATACAAGAATTAGACAAGTCACGATTGATCAGGATAGAATAAGGTTAAGAAATTTTTATACAGAAGAGTTTTAAAAGATGATAGGGAGGTAGCCAATCGTATGGAGTCGGACAGCCTATTCCACAACTTAATGACGGAGATCCTAATTGAATTGCCTATGAAGGATGGAATTTCCAATAAACATCTATTGGAAGAGCGAAACATAGAGTTAGTAGGACCTGAGAATTTGAAATGATTTTTAGATAAAAGGGAGTTGTGGGATTGAAAAGAACTGAGTATAGAAGTTGAAGAAGATGAGCGTCACGTCTGAGTGGAGTAGGTAGCCACCCGAGAATCGGCCTGTGCAATTTAGACACATGGTCGTATTTCCGAAGACCAAATATGAAACATATGCAGAAATTCTGCAGCTCTTCATTCATATCAGAGGTGCATGGGTGATCCAGTTCATCCAGTGTAGACTGAACGTAAATTTGAATGTCATCAGCAAAAAGGTGGTAATTAGCCGATAAACGCGCTGTCAGGGTGTTGATAAAGATAAAATAAAATAGAAGAGGCGAAAGTACGCCACCCTGCGGAACACCAGTACCTACTTACACTGAGAGTGGGTATCATTGATTTTAAACGCCCGTAAAGATAGCAATAAAACTAGTCAATAGCGGATGGAGAGCTTTTTATAGAGCAAAGCAACCCAAGCCGAATTTCAAAGTCCACAGTATTGAAAGCATTACTAAAGTCAAGCAGAGTGAAAACAGTGAACATATATTTATTTCTATTTTAATAATTGTTTCCAATTAGAATAACAGCTGTACGCTTTTTAAGTGGGTTAGCACCATTTGCGCCCAACAAATACTTATAACATTAATTAAGAATACATTCTAAACAAAATTCTGAACTTTGAGGTTAATAACGCTCAGAGACCATATTTATTATATGTATATTTAAGATTGTTATTACATCAGCTACGTAGAAAATAACAAAGGCAATCTTAGCTTCAGTTTAAGATATCAAACTAACACTGGTATTAAAAAGTTCAGAACATAATTATGCCTGGTTTGACCTAAGGTATGTAAGGTTTTTAATACTTCGTGTAGACGGGATTTTTTAGCCGCTTTACTCTAGGATCATTAGCTCTCATAATCATGTAAGTGGATTTATATTCTCTATTATCACCATTATTTTTCGTGTATCGGTCCAGTCCAGCCACTCCCAGGCCAATCCCAACCAGAGCACATATAGATGAACACATCACTCCTGGAATTTCCCAAAAACCTTGCTTTATCAATCCTAACCATGATTTTCCAAAATCTACTTGGTGCCCTATAGTTTTTGGCATAGGCATTTTAATTAAATGTTTGTTCTTTAATAATTATAAAATAATAACGCGTGAAAACGCTAATTTCTATTAGATTCTCTGATACTCTTCAATCATTAAACATATTTTTTCCATATAGCAAATAATGACATTACTGACATTTCTTTTTATTTGATATTTGTTATAAATCTAAGCAGGAAATACCTAAATAAAAACTACCCTTTCATTACTTTTTATGTCTGAGGTTGCTTTTTGTGGGCTATATGTACTATAATATAATGGGCTGTTTGACAAGATTTTAAAAACCATTTTAGATTATTTATTAGTGACGCTAAAAGCTATAGATATTGTTATTTTAAATTCAGTTATTGGCTTTAAAGTCATATAAAACATTTATAATTACAAGAACTCGCCAAAAATTTTCTGTAGGTCAGGGTCAAACGTCAGGGTTTATTTATTTATTTACAGCCTTATATCAGAAATACAAAATATATACATTATAACTGTTATTTTTCTTAATCTACGATAACTGATTCTGTGTGCCTACGGGCAAAGGCCTCCCCCATTGTCCTCCATTTTTCCTTATTGTACACCAATCTCGTCCAGGTCTTAGTCTTTCCTGCCATTTACATGATTTCATCGGCCCACCTTAAAAAAAAAAAGTCAGGGTTTAACGTATCTTAAATTTAATTAATCTTTCTTAAATTACACAAATACAAATATATTTCAACAATAAACAGTCTTCGAAGACATTAACACCAACACAGTACAAGTAGCGGCACGAAACTCTAGCGCTGACCGTTATTGCGCAGAAGTAAAAAAAAAGGTACCTGAGGGGGGCTAGCGGAATGAAGAGCGGGCGCGCGTAGCGTCGATTGGCTCTCCAGTCTCCAGTCGCATTCCGTCCCCCGTACCGATACGACGCCCCGCGCACATCCCGTGTACAGTCGCGTCATTAATATTATTGTTACTGTTGTTACGTTTTGTTGTTTTTTGTTACGTTTGAATTTGTTAGTGCTTTGTTGTTTGTTATTTGTTTTTAAGTTTGTTTGTGACTTTAAAGTGAATATGCCTAGAACAAATACTGTTTTGAAAAGACAAGCCAGGAAAATGGTTTATGACGTGAATTGTTTTTTAAAAAAGGGAATCTAACAAATTAATTGATTCTTTGAAACAAATCCAAAGTGAGATTGACGAAGCTACAAATACTTTGTTCAGTCATTCGGACAGCAACATTGTAAATTTGAGCCAGATAAAACAATAATAAATATAATGTATTGCGTGCGCGACAGTACACATGCGCAGCAATCCCCTCCACGTATCGGCCAGCGCTAGACTTACGTGCCGCTGCCTATATGTATTAGTAATTATTTTGCCTTTTACATGTCTATTATCTTAATCATCATTGTTCAACTCATGTGTAAATTGCGTGTTCAGTTATTAAGAGAATTATTTGCTGTATCCAAAGTTTTAAGCTTTAGGGATGTTACTTTAGGGTTATTGGGTTCAGAATTTGGTCGTGTTAAAATAAAACTCCCAAATTGTTTGTAGAGAAGAGGTGAACATGGAATGCTTTTTATTTACAAAACTATGTACATTTATGCCCAAAAATTATCCTACACTTACAACTAGTATTAACATGTGGTGCCAAAATGCGTAGAGTTGGTTGGTTGCGCAGGTACCAAGGGCAGGCGATAAAAACGCGGCGCGGCAAAAAGTTGGCCCTTTTCTGCGCACAGCCCGGCACAGCTGTCGAGGCGTACGCACGTGTTCTTTTTAGAACACTTCGATATCGTAGCCTTACGATAACGCTAATAAACTGTTCTTTTCAGAACAATATTATCGTATCTTACGAAAACGTTTAACAACTGTCATTTTCAGGACATATTATTATTTCTCGACAAAAACGTTTAACAACTGTCCTTGTCAGGACATATTACGGTGTCTTACGACAACGATGAAACTGTTATTTTCAGAACACACGACCGTATCTATTCTGATCTGTTCGGTCGGTGACGTAGCGTAAGCGCGGCCGGTGCATCCGTAACGCGTTAGAGTGAGACACTATGTAGGCGTGTTAGTCTGAGTCTGGTAGAGTGGTGGAGTCGTAGATTGAATAACTTGAATAAATAAAAAGAAAATAAATAATTATAATTGCATAAGTTGATAAAAATGTTATGCAATATCTTTACCGCTGTAACTGTTTAAACTGTAACTGTAGCAACAAGCTCGGCCGGGACATATATAAAAACGTTATCTTGGTTTGTGTACGCTTCAAAAACTCAAAAAGTTCTGCACCGATCGAGCTGAAATTTTAGCATGATTATAATCCGCTTCATTTTTTTTGTTTTTTCATTTTTTTTCCACAAGTTTTGCAAAATTAAACTCATATGAAATGTTTTCTTTGTTTTGTTTCTTATTTCTCAACCATTTAACATTAATAACGTTACCATAACAGTCAAAGATGCCGTAAGTCGCATATAGGGGTCCAGAGTTTGACACCCTTGAAAAAATGACATGAAATTTGAACTTCAATAATTTTTTTTTCTAAATGTACCTAATTTATATTTTTTATAATTTATAACTAAAATTCCCACAAAACATAATATTTTAATAGTAATATATGGTCTTACCTATTTTGAAAAAGGTTTAGTGATTTTAACTTAAAAAATGAACGTAATAGGAACTTCATTAAAGAGCGGGCTATAACTAAAATCACTTATCGTAGATTTGATTTGATCTAAGTATGTGATGTTTGAATTAGAAACAATAAATATGAATTGATCCTTCGTTATAATTTCAATGGTTGACTCTTATTAAAAACACAATACAATATAAATTCCTCGATACAAAAAAAACACAAAGTCACCTCTAACTTTTATCTAGTTTCGTATTCAATCATGGCGAGTAGGTATTATGGTAAAAAATTGAATGACAGCACATTAGTTTGTCCGAGAGCAAGCGATTTTATTAAATATTGTATATTTTACGAGTTATTTAAATAAAAGGCATATGGGGTTTACTTCATTTCTCGTCCGCGAATTACTGTATCATCTGTCTCATCTCACGCATACAACTTCAGGCATACGTTTGTTTCACTAGTCAGTTTTTTTAGCGGAAAACGCACATACTTGTGTCTTCTTGGGGTTAAAGTTGGACTAGATTTGGTCTACCCCAGTCTGAGACTCCACGTAGAAGAGGTTCGACAGCGGAGCATGCTCCGTCGATGACGACCTTGATGCTCCGATCAGCGAGAAAGGTGGAAATCTAGTTGCATAGTTTCTCGGGGAGCCCATAGGCTGGAAGCTTCGAGAGCAGTGCTCTGTGCCACACCCGATCGAAGGTTTTCGCGATGTCCAAACTTACCACCAGCGCCTCCCCTTGGACTCAATTGCCTCTGCCCACCTATGTATACAGTATAAGGTATACAAGAAGGTCACCGGCTGAGCGACCACGACGAAAGCCGTACTGAGAAACGCTATTCAGCTGGTGGCCCTCTAGATACCTAAGGGGATGGCCGATAATAATGTATTCCATTATTTTGGAGAACAAGGAGGATATAGTATTTATAGAGATTATAAACAAAAAAAAATAGCTTTAAGTTTTTATAACATTTATTATTTGATGTAAACTTCTTACATGATACTATTATAAACTGATGACATTGTCAATCTGTTTAGACACTAACTTTTGTCAATGTATCAAATGTAACCAAAATATTTTACTGTTAATTTAGCTTATTATAACCTTATATTCTTCAAAGGTTTTGTCTTATTTCAATTTTATAAGGTAAATAAAAAGCAACATGGATAAATATCTTCGCCCTGAAAGATTTTATATCGACCCGTCAAATAGCTCTGGTACGAAATCTTGGATACACTGGCATAAGACTTTCGAAAGCTTCATTTCCGTGCAGAAACCGACCGCTCCAGAAACAGATGCACAGTCGGTTCCTCCGCCAGAAAAATGGGACAGCATAAAGTTTCAGCTTTTGATAAATCATATATCACCAAATATCTACACATATATAAGCGAAGCCACGAACTACGAAGAAGCGATCACAATACTGCAAAAACTGTATGTAAAACCAAAAAATCAGATTTTTGCTAGACACATGTTAGCAACAAGGAAACAACGACCAGAAGAAAGTATCGACATATATTTACAAGCTTTGAAACTACTTTCTAAAGATTGTGACTTTGCGGCTGTTGATGCAGAATCAAACAAAAACGATAGCGTGCGTGATGCTTTTAGGTATATCATCGCATAAAATCAGACAAAGGCTTTTAGAAAACTTAAATCTAACACTTGATCAAGCTTACAACCAAGCACTCTCTCTAGAAACTGCAGAGATCAACTCTCAAAGCTTTCATACTGTGTCTTTAAATGCCGTTGAAGAAGAACCTAAATTAGTCTGTCCCAAATCACAAACTGTGCACGACGAGACCTGCTCTTCTGTTAATAATCCTCGACGACGAAAATGTTTTTTTTTGTGGGGGACAAATACATCCTCGTAAGAACTGCCCTACATTTGAAAAGTCTTGTCAGCTCTGCAACAAGAAGGGGCACTTTGCCACTGTAGTAGGTACTGAAAATCTTTCTTGTATCACAGCAGCGTCACCTTATTCATTACACAAAGCTACTGTACCCGCGTATATTCGAGCAATAAGAGCAGAGGCAGTTCTCGACACCGGCAGCTCCATCAGTTATATAAATGACAGTTTTGCAAGACTATGCGGGTTAAAAAGAAAATCCTGCAATCATATTATTTCTATGGCCTCTCTTAATCATACTTCACAAGTAGAAGGTCAAACTTTGCAAAGCCTGAAAATTGGAAATCATAAATATGATAATGTGAATCTTCTTATCGTGAAAAATCTTTGTGCAGACATAATTATCGGCCTTGACGTCCTCGAAGAACATGCATCACTAGAGTTCTCTTTCGGTGGGCCAAAACATTCACTTCAAGTATGTAACGTAGCCGAAGCATCAGTACCAGCTGTACCGCTTTTTGCAAATGTATCTCCCAACTGCAAACCTATTGCTATTAAGTCTCGAAGGCACAGCAAAGAGGATAGTGAATTGATGAAAGAGGAAATCAGAAACCTTACAGAAGAAGGCGTGATTGAAGAAAGTAAATCACCGTGGAGGGCCCAAGTACTAATAACAAAAACCGAAACTCATAGAAAACGTCTTGTGATTGATTACTCCCAGACAATTAATCGTTACACAGAACTCAACGCGTACCCTTTACCAAACATTGAGGACTTAGTTTCGAAAGTGGCAAAGAATATATTTTTCAGACTAATAGACTTGAAAAGCTCGTACCATCAAGTACCTATACTACCCGAAGAAAGAAAATTTACCGCTTTTGAAGCGCTTGGAAATTTGTACCAGTTCAGGCGTATCCCTTTTGGAGTAACAAATGGTGTTTCGAGTTTCCAACGAACAATCGATTGGATTATAAGGAAAGAAATGCTTCAAAACACATATGCGTATCTTGATGATATAACTATTTGTGGCCGTAATCTTCAAGAACACGATCATAACTTAGAAAGTTTTATGAATGCCGCAAAGAAATACGGTTTAACACTGAGTATGCTAAAATGCAAATTTTCTCAAGAGTCAATTAATATTCTAGGCTATAATATTCAAAACCACATAATTAAACCTGACAGTGAGTGACTCAAGCCACTGATTAATTTACCTGCACCAAGCAATTTACCGACCTTAAGAAGGACACTCGGCATGTTCGCACATTATTCTAAGTGGATTCCAAACTTTTCTGAACGGATCCACTCATTTGCTAATACGACTACTTTTCCGCTCACAAGCGAGCAAATTAAATGTTTCGAAGGCCTGAAAAATGATATCGCAAAGTCTTCTAGACATGCAATTGATGTAAATATACCTTTTACAGTCGAAACTGACGCTTCCGATCATTCCATTGCAGCAGTACTTACGCAAAATTCTAGACCAGTGGCGTTTTTCTCAAGAACTTTGAATTCAAGCGAACAAAACCAATCATTGAAGAAATGGAGACATTTCCTTATCGGTAGACACTTTAAGTTGGTAACTGACCAACGCTCGGTTTCTTTTATGTTTAATATGAAACATTCAAGTAAGATAAAGAATGAAAAGATTCAAAGATGGCGACTGGAACTTGCTGTTTTCAAATTTGATATTAAATATATACAGACCGGGGAAAGAGAACTATGCTGCTGATGCACTATCCCGAGTTTGTGCCACTGTAGAAGCACGTACTGCAAAACTTTTCTCGCTGCATGAGGCTCTTTGTCATCCAGGGGTAACGAGAATGTTTCACTGGGTTCGCTTTAAATACCTTCCCTATTCCATTGAAGAAGTCAGAACAATGACAAAATCTTGTCAAACCTCCTCTGAAGTAAAACCTAGATTCTTCCGAAATACTTTTGATGACCAGAGGAAACTTGTTAAAGCGACGGCTGCTTTTGAACGCCTTAGCTTAGATTTTAAAGGACCATTTCCAACAAACAATAATAACAAATTCATACTTACCGTGATTGACGAATTTTCACATTTCCCGTTTGCTTTCCCATGCTCAGATGTGAGCTCGAAAACAGTGATTAAACACCTCAACAAGTTATTTGTGATGTTCGGCATGCCTTCTTACGTTCATTCAGATCGCGGAACAGCATTTCTCTCTGCCGAAGTACAGGATTTTTTACATGTTCGAGGTATTGCCACAAGTAGAACTACAGCTTATAACCCTCAAGGTAACGGGCAAATATAAAAATTGAATTCTACTCTTTGGAGAACGAATCTTTTGGCGCTGAAGACGAAGAATCTTTCGGTAGAAAATTGGGAGCAAGCATTACCACAAGCCTTACATTCGATTCGATCTTTACTTTGTACAGCCATAAATTGCACTCCACATGAAATAATGTTTAGACACCCAAGACGATCTACTAACGGCACTTCTGTTCCATCGTTGCTTACAAATTCTGGACAAGTCTTGATGAAGAAATTTAATCGTACAAATAAATATCAGCCATTAGTAGAAGAGGTTGAATTGATACACAGCAATCCTGATTATTCATACATTCGGTTCCCAGATGGCCGAGAAACAACGGTGTCAAATCGTCATTTAGCACCATTGGGTTCAGAAGGGGTAGATCTGCGAATAAATAATGACTATCATAACGCCACAGAACCACGTACGGAAACAGAAGACCAAAACATGGAAATTCCTTCATCTAATGAGATGGGACCTGTGGTACTTCATAATAGCAGAGAGCTAGAGACTGATCTACCATCATCACCAACGCCGGAGCCAACACTTCGTAGATCTGACACCGAGATACCATCATCATCACCGCCGGAGCCAACACTTCGTAGATCTGGCACCGAGTTACCATCATCATCACCGCCGGAGCCAACACTTCGTAGATCTGGCCGCGTCCGTAAAAGACCAGAATTATTAATAAAAAATAAAATAGTCTTATGAAAAATAATAAAATAATCAATATAAACTTGTTATATCAGACTATGCCATCAATGCCACATCTAGAAAAAAATTAAATTCTAACATCCGTGTTTCGCTTGGTTGACTGACCAAGTTTTTTATGTCTACCCACATTTTTGGTGCTGTTCTGTTTTCTCATTTTATATATGTACCTACATCTGTGCGCTCTAATTTTTAATCTTAGTTTTAAATATGTGTTTCTCAGTAAGTGAATTTTCAATTCTTATGAGAAATAAAGTTATTCTTAAACCTAATTATATTTTAAAATAGTGCGGGAGAATTATGTAAACTTCTTTGATGTAAACTTCTTACATGATACTATTATAAACTGATGACATTGTCAATCTGTTTAGACACTAACTTTTGTCAATGTATCAAATGTAACCAAAATATTTTACTGTTAATTTAGCTTATTATAACCTTATATTCTTAAAAGGTTTTGTCTTATTTCATTAGTATATATAATGTTCAGCTCTGACAATTACAAATTACAAATACACTTAGGTCCAGATGAGTAGGTTTGCATATGCGGTGCTCCCTTTAGCATAGGGCTACTCTTTATGGCACTCGTTAAGTGAACCAAATTTTTTTTTATTGAACAGGGTGCAAACGGGCAGGAGGCTTACCTGATGTAAAGTGATACCACCGCCCATGGACACTCTCAATGCCAGAGGGCTCTCGAGTGCGTTGCCGACCGACCGACGTTACTTTTAAGAATTGGTACGCTCTTTTCCTGAAGGACCCTAAGTCGAATTGGTTCGGAAATACTTCAGTGGGCAGCTGGTTCTACAAAGGGGGTTCGCGGACATCGAGACATTAATATTATATACATATTCTAATATCTTACTTTAGGCCCGCTCTTAAGATGCGTCAAATATTATATTGTATAAGTCCCGCACGTTGATATTGCGACTGGCGGCCATCTTAGTGACGTAGTCGAACTGTTAGGCTCAGTACCGTGCGCAATGTCAGCCAGCACTTACGCGTATTAAGTATATCTACCTCGTGTTTTTTATTGCTTTTTATTTTCGTTATCCTGTTTTATTTTTGTTGTTTAGTTTTGTTATCATACTAATCCTATTAAAATGAGAAATAAAGTAATTAACAGCCGTGCTCGTGAAACATTCAGGCAAATAAATGAATATTATTATTATTAACTTTTTTGTTGTCTGTACTTTTCTGCGGTGGATGATGTCACGCAGCTGTTATTGTGACAAGGTTCCATCGCAATGTCAACGTGCGGGGCTTATACAACAAGTCACAAGAATAAATTTGAGACCATAGATCTACTTTTGTCATTTGTCATACTGACATTTACGGAATATGAACTCTCAAGTCGCAAAAATCAAAATCCCAAAAATAATAACTATGGTTATTAAGACTAGGCCGTTCAGCGGTCGTTTTCCTTAGCCTATTAAATTTTTTGTGAGAGAGTACACGGCTATATATTTTAGAACAATGGCCGCGCAAGCATCAAGAAAAACCCTTGCTCAGTTAATCAGACAAGGATACGACGAAATACCAGAAATATACGCAGGCACTGCCCTTGCATTGGTGGGAATAGGCCTGGGTTCCGTAGGTTGTTACAATTACTTTAAAAGAGATGGAGATAATAAAAGGTACAAGAAAATGTACGTAGTTATGAGACCCGATGACCCCAGAGTAGCTAAGATTAGAAAAGACTAAGTTTTATTAAGTGAAGTAGTGGATAAATAGTTGCAATTATGTAATGTACAATAAAGTTACTACAACTATATGATGAGGTATTTTTAATTTTAAACTTACATATTCATGTTATAAAATTTAAGACAGTTAATAATGAATATATCCATCCCAGCCTTATCATAGGCCATATGAACAGCGTGTGCCTTAAAAATCAAAACAGTTTTTATATATTTGAAATTCTTCGTGAAATTCAGTTTCATAATTGAGTATAAAATCACTCATCAAAAATATCACCTATTTGATGATAACTACATTAGTTAGTAGTTTAGAATACATACAATAAAATGCATACATTGCACAAAAGTATCAAGAAAGCTGATATAAAAAAATTAAGAAATAAAATGTTTTAAGATTATCATGCTTAATATTTATTTAATCATAGATAAATTTTATTTTTAACATGATCATTTTGTTTTCTTTCCTTTGCCTTTACTTGATTGTGGTTTCTCTTTGCTGCTGGAAGCTTTCTCTAAATCTTTCATTTTCTTTTTCTGTAAAATTAGTTTATATTAAAGTGAAGTTATACTAAAATAACTATAGTTTTCAATTGGTACTATAACATTTTAACAGTATGCAAATACATTATGAACATCATGCAACAATAATAAGGAGCGCTAACACAACTTATTTGTTATTGAGAGTTTAAGGTAAAGAAATCTTTTATGATAGGTGTGTTCCTCTTTAAAACGTTGATATGAAACATTCTTACATAGTTTACTATTGGTATGTTATTAAAAACATGTTATAATTTATTATCTCAATAAATATATTTTAAGAGTGTAAATTCTGAGTCTGAATTAGTTCTACTTCTGAACGCTGGTGACATTAAAAACTGTTTGTCATACCTTAATAAGTAAATCATTTTCAGGATCACTATCATTTTCTAGATCATCTTCAGCATCCATTTCCAAACCATTTTCATCAGTGTCAAGATGTTTTGCCTTCTTTATAGCACCAGGTGCATATGGCAATGCACTTGCTTGTTTATTGTATGTCCGTGTCATTGCAGCTTTCACCTTTAAAAATCATGTAAAGTTGAAACATGTTTTAACTAAAACTACTTATCATTTCTCACTACCTCTTTTAAGTGTGCTGTAGTCTAAACAATGACTATATCTCAGAGCCATATAAAAAGTTATTAAGTTATACCAGTAGCTACAAATAAGAACAAAGCATTGTAAAGTTGGTACAATCTATCTCCACACTTATTTTTTAAGCACTGCCTTTGGTTGAAATTGTTACATGAACATAAAATCCAAATAGAAAAACCAACTTTTGCATCTATAAGAATGCTGGGGTTACGTTGCCCTGGCCACAGTGACAGTTCAGTGAGTGACTCCAGGTCATCCCGTAGTAGGTGGTATTCTTCAAGCACTTGAAGGGATTTTAAAATACCCTCATTTTTGTCCTTAATCAGTGGGTTTAGTATGGCGTCGCGAAGATGTGATGAATAGTCAAGGAATATTGATGATTTTGATCCTGATGTACTGTAAAAAAAATATTATAATTACAGAATAAAACGTGTATAGTTTGACTCTATATATAAATATATTACTTAAAAATGTTTCATAGTTTAGTTTTCAAATACTTGTAAACTGTTACTTAAAAGCTTTTTTAAATATTAGGCGATTTCTTTCTCACCTGAGTCTTGTATGGGCGTGTATGGTCTGCGCCAGGCGAGACATTTTGTTTGCTCTTGAATTTTTCCCAAGCCAGCTCGGGAACTGTATCTGTCCACCTACATGACCTGATAATTGTTGTCCGGGAATAACCGAACTATACATGGCCTATAAAGAAAAAAAAAATAGATCAATGGTATATGACTGTGTAATGTTTTTGGTACCTAACATAAATCATTCATAGTCAAAATTATTTTCCCAAAAAATGTCAGTTGACTATTTTTGTATTAAACATATACAAAACAAATAAACCTGTGTGTGTGGCTTTGGAGCCACTGAATTGGTGTATATTTTATTTTAAAAAATGAATTAATCAGTAAGGTTAATAAATTTATACCTGCAGTGGAAGAAGACTCCAGGCTTGATTAGATCTAATCCTAGAGTCAACTAAGTCACCAAGGCTAATACTGTCAACTGCTTTGCTCATCCGATCCAATACTTCATGCCTATAATAAAAAGACTTGGTTAATTTTAATTATGTATATTATATAGATTAATTAACATTTTGTCTGAGACTGCCTCGTCTCTATGGTCTAATTACTTTGGACAACCTTATAAATTTTTAAGATACCTATTTTATCTAAACAATGATGAGCTTTCATCCCCTATTTTTGCCTCGTCTCTATGGTCTAATTACTTTGGACAACCTTATAAATTTTTAAGATACCTATTTTATCCAAACAATGATGAGCTTTCATCCCCTATTTTAATATAGTGTCTAGTTGGATATATCCATTTTATAAATCATAATGAACTATTTTATGTATCGATCATGCTTAAGGCCCTATCCCAGCACGAATTGCTGTGTCAGTGTCTCGGGGTGGACTGCGGGGCACAGTGCAGAGCTGGAGCACTGAGGCGCGCCGGCCCGTAATAACAATTAGTTATGTAAAACATATATAATGTAGTTTTATCAATTTATTTTTCTTAAATGGATTACTTTGCTTGCGATAAAATATATCGTGTAAATTTCAAAATCATGTTCTATATACATTTTCGTCATAAAATGAATTCAAAGTGATTTATTTTCTATCAAGCGAAGTTATTTGAATCGTCTATATAAAAAAATACTCAACTCCACCATATATTTTTTCCATTCGCCCTACTTCAAGAAACGATGACGAAAAATGGAAAGAAACAATGTACTTTTTAGGAGTTTGGCGACCAGATAGGTCCATAACAACGACGGTCATTATACTTCAATTTTTTTGTATCTTAAAAACATATTTCCAAATAAATATTTAAGGCAAATAATAGTTACTTGGGACAATGTGGCACAACTTGCGGGTAGTTTTCGTGGACAAATAGTGGTGCGAGGCTGTAGTCGGTAAAGAACAGATCGCTTCGATCGATAATACTCATGGTCTTGTGTTCCTCTGCTGAAAAAACTTTACGAATCGCATCCCATGGGCCCTGTATAATACACATTTTAAAATGAATGAGCTAATAACAACTGACCTATATGATTGGTGTTTTAGCATCTATATAAATCACGAAAATTACAAGTTTCTAAAAAAATATATAGAAAGTTATCAGTATTCTAAGTTAACATAAGTACTAAAAGCAGCAGTTCTTTTGTTTTATTGTTTATTTATGACATACCATTTTGATATCTTTTTTGACTCTCTGAACCTCCTTCTGGAGTTTATCATGTTCCGTGAGAGTGGGGTCAGCCGTCCACACTGACAGTAAGTGCAGGGTCTGTCGGATATCCTGTCCCGCTGCACTTATCAGCTGAGATAGAACATCCCCTGGGACTTTAACACCTTCTTTGAAGCATATCGTCATCATTGCTGCCTAAAATATAATTTTTAATAATATAATATTATTTACTAAAACATTATTAATAGAGAGCAAATATTAAGTAGGGTATTTTATGTGAAAACTTCTTTAATTTTAAAAACTAAGAGATTTTCCAGCGGTCTGCCTTGGCTTCTTCTAGTTTTGTTTGGTAAAAAAAAATTGAAATCGGTCCAATAGCTTTTAACTTTATTTATTACAACATAAAAAACTTTCCTCTTTAAAATAGAAAACATTTTTATTAAGGTTGAAGTCTCGTAACCTCCATAACATTTAAAATTCTGAGATCAAATCAAAAGAAATGCTTATAAGAATACCTTAATCTGGTCAACCCGCGGCCGGCTGAATCGAAGGTCATAGCAGTAATTTACCAAAGACCGCATTTTTTCACTGTTTCTGTCATTACACATGCAAATTACCGGCACTGAAGATGACTTTATTAGGGAAATTAATTCTTGGAGACCACCTGAAAAAGAAAAATTACATTGCACCTCGAAGCTCAACCCGCGCTTATTTTACCCAGCAGTACTAAATATACATTACAACAATTACTATAATATAATTAAAAATTTGTCGAGCCGTTTTTGAGTACTACACAAATTGTGACACAAGATAATTTAAATTAATAATTTTGGATTCTTAACTTCCAAGTTATTTCTTTTAAAATTTCATTATATTCATGATAAGCCTACTGGTTTATTTATGTGGTGCAGCATCTTTTCAACGGCTTTTATTAATTACCGTCGTATTATGTAAAAAAATCAGTTAATTGTTATAGAAGATTTATTTGAAAGTGTAAATCAAAGACAATTTACCTCTATCCTCATTGCCAGCCATTCCGTCCACTTCGTCCATAACCAGAACATGCTTCTTTGTTACCGCTTGTTTACCAGTCACCCCTGAAATTATTATTGATTGTATACGGAAGAATACAAAGAAATACATTATCAGACTTGTTACACCTCAATCTTAGTTTTTACTGTAGCACCCTTGAAGCCTGTTTTTCACCATAACTCCGGAATTTGAAATGTTTCTAAGGAAAAGACAAAAACAAAGGTCATAATTTAGTGTATGTTATTATTACCTTTAGCATAACCAGACAGAGATGTTGTAGATATTAGTTCTGAGATTTGTTCCTTTATAAGATTCTTACTGCGAGTATCCGATGCGTTAAACTCTACCGTATCAAAACCTAATTCCTTGCACACTAGTCCCACCGTCGTTGTTTTACCTGAAAACCACACGTTACATTTAATATTAATACTAAGTTATCAATAGTTTATGGTTATTTAATACCAGTTTTGTCATTTCCAGTAAGTTCTATAAAAGTAATTCAAACTATTTGATTTTAAATTAATATGCGTTCTACATATAATTTATTTTTCGCAAAATTTGGAATATTTTTTATACTTGTTTATATATTTACACCTCGTTGCCAGAAATACATAAATAATTTAAAAAAAAATGAGGGAAACTGGCGGTCTTGTCGCTTTCGAGTGATCTCTTCCAGGCAACCACTGTGAGGAAAAAAAATTAAATTTATAAGGTGAGGGCAGGTGCAAAACAACATAAAATATACAATGACTTAGATATAAAGAATGGAACAAAACAAACCATCGGTTACATCAAATTTTTCAACTATGGCACAAGCTCGCTCGATAGATGCTAGGAATCAAAACATGAAGATGATAGTTGGCCACATCCCTATATTATTATTTGTATGTGCATGTTAGCAATTGCTCTTCTTGCTATCGTGAAGAAAATGGAAACAAAACCGGCATAGGTCCACCAAATGATTATTTATTATTTTGTCCCCTCTGTATATTTCTTTAATGTAATCAAACATTGCTTTCTATAATCAAAACAAGCGTAATTTATAAGAAATATAGAATAAGAAACATGTTTCAAGCAATAATCCCGGACATTATACGAATGAATCGTAATAAATAAAGTTTCTATGCAACCTATGGACATGTGGACCTATTTGGTTGTACTGTGACCAAGGTTACAATAGTAGTTTATTATTGTAGGTGGATAAAATTTGTATCATTTACGTGTAAGTGTATCTTACCAACGCCCGGAGGTCCAGATAAAAGAGCGGCTTTATAATATCCACCATCATCATTCTTTGACCATGGATTTGGTTTAGGCAGCTTAGCTTTTCTATTCACATACCATTTGGTTAACCAGTTGATTAATCTGTCAAAAAATTAGTAAACATATTTAACAGATTTGTCAGTTTTCTTCATTTAAATACATTTTAAAGTAATAAAGTACTTATACAATAATGATAAAAAAAAATGCTCTCACTCCTTTCTACATATAAATTATAGAATATAACAAGAATAATAATTTAAACCCAGAGTTGTAAACATTAAAAATTTCTCATTGACTTACTTTTTAACATTACTTGCTTCACCATGTTGTCCAATAATCTGCTTTATACTCTGCGGCTTGTATTTGTCAACCCACATTAGAGATGCATCTCTTGAGGAATTGTCAACTGAAATTTTATAATCCATTAATTACATACATCTTCATTACTCAAATAAACCTACAAATGACAGTAAATGTTTTCTATTTATATTCAGTAGTATATAACATAATTTTTTCTCCAGCATGTTCTAGGTAAATTTATAGATTGACCACTTATGTGGCTTGGTGGGACGTCCTGGTGGTTCAATCCGAGCGAACTGATAGTTATTTCGGACCGGTTTATTCGTTAAAATAGTTGCATTTGGACCCAGTTACGACTAAGTTTCAATACCTGTAAAACTATGAATGAAAGGTAACAAAGGTTTGATATTCTTAAACAGGAATAGGTGAGCTCTCAAAAAACGTGAACAGGTTTTAAACCTGTACCAAACCAGTGCTTTCTGATTGATAACACATGCTTGGAACTTTATTGTCAGACTATTTGTATTAAAATAATAAATATACCATTGTCAATCTGCTCTACTTCTTCTTCACTTTTCTTCGTTTTTAGTTTTCCATAAGAGTCCAATATTTCTTTCTTAATTTTTGGTTTTGGGGAGACAGATCTCTCTTTTTTAATAGGGTTCTTCAGGGACACTGATTTGTCATTCTTTAAAGTTATATTTGCTTTTGGAGAGACAGATCTCTCTTTTTTAATAGGGTTCTTCAGGGATACTGATTTGTCATTCTTTAAAGTTATGGTTGCTGTTGGAGATACTAATATTTCCTTCTTAACGTCATTCAAAGATTCCTTTGATTTATCTTTAGTCGTCTTTTCATGATTTCTTTTAGATTTTTCATCTTGTGGAGATTGATTCTTATCACTTTTTTTTATTTTTATGTTTGGTTTATCATTAGTGTTTGATTTTTTATTTTTGTTTTTCTTTGATAGCTCAGTAATCATATTGAGGAATTGGTCTTCATTAATAATTTTTATGCCTAATGATTCTGCTTTAGCAGTTTTTGCTGGGCCTGAGTCTTCACCAGCTAGGACATGCGTTACCTGGAATGTTGAATCGCTAAATTATTTACTTTCTGACTCCGTATCACTCAAGGGAAATAAACTGAAACACTAACACATGTGTAGCAAACACATTTTTGTACATATATTGTTAGTATACACAACACTCACAACTTTGTTCATACCAGAATGACAAAGGCAGTGAAAGTAAGATAGAAAAACATAATAATATAAATAAGTTTTGTACAAAAAATATTGATTGAAAAATGTATTTAACTTATAATATATTTAAATTGATAATTACAATTTTGCAAGTAAAGAATTGAATGACATATATTATTTTATAATTTTTTGTTTTAATATGCAAGTATTTAACAATTTATTTATTCAGAATAAATTGATTTAGAAATAAATTGTCTTACCTTCTTACTAACACTAGATTTGACTGAACCACCATATTTTGTGATAGCGTCTATGATTTCTTCTCGCTCAAAGGAATCTAAAACTCCAGTCAGTAAAAATGCACAATCCTTCAAACAATCTGGTGCTCCCTAAAATTATTATAATAGCAAATAAGACAAATATGTAAATACATTTAATATAACAGAAACCAGTTTTAGGAGTATTATACATATGTATACACTAACTAAATTACACCTTTATTTTTGTTAGTGTGCAAAAAAAATTCAATTGTAGAATATCAAATATTGCTTTTTAATATAAAAATAAATAAAAATTACTTCTGGAATTTCCTTTGCACCCAAGTTTTTGGGTCCAGTTCTATTTAGATATTTTTGATATAGAGACGCTGATAGTCTTTTTCTCTCATGTCTTTCTTGATCACTAAGTGCTGGAATGCAATATGAACAAAGTTTGTTAAATAGAACTTAATGCACATAGCTTTATCTGAATAAAATATACAAAGGTTGATAATATAAAGTTACTTTAATATTTGTAGTATCAATTAGTCAAAGCATTTAAGAAGAATTGCTGAGTGACTCAAGACATTCGGATGCGGTTTGTAGTATAATTTTACTCAAACAATAAATAAACAGGAAATGGCACAAACCAGACTCATTAAGGCTGTCATCATGTTTTTTCTTTTTAAAGCTTGTATCATGATCATCATCTTCTTCTAAAAAACTACTCAAATCTCTCTTTCTTATCTTTGATTTATTTATAGCATGAGGTTTTTCGACAACAGAACTATTATTAATTTTATGGCCAATTACTTTTTCATCATGTTCATCATCATCTGCAATTTCTATTATTTTATCATTCTTGTTTTGCTTTTTTGAATTCTTATTCTGATCATTGTCTGTTCTTTTATCATTTTTTTCTTTCAATTTGGTTTCAGTTTGATGATGCTTTTTGGGCTTCACTTCTCTCTTATCTTCAGTTAAACTAAGTTGTGGTGGGCTAATTTTAACTTTTGGCACATCTTTATTGCTTTTTGGTTCATCTGGAGCTATATCTTTTTCCTGGTTATCTTTATGAGATTTGACTTTCCCTGGTGATATATAATCAATGGTATCTAATTCCAATAGACTTTGCTCAAATTCTTCATCAGAATGTATACCAATTTCAGTTTGTTTTTCACTTTTATTTTTTACAACTAAAGACTCAGTTTTTTTTATCTTTCCACTACCAAATAAGTCAGTTATTGTAACTTCTTTAAGTTTTGGACTGATGTGTGCTGATTTCTGTTCTGTGTCTACCTTTTTTTTTTTTGGAGAAAATATTTCTTCATCTGAATCTTCTATCCGCCTTTTCTTTGTTTGTTTTTTCTAAAACAGTCAAAACTTTTTAATATTTGAAGTACTATAAATAATTAGTAAATGATTAAGAATTAATCACTCCCATAAATATAATATCCGGATACTATTGACTATGAACAGATAACACAATCAAAACATTTATGACAAAGTGATTATAATTATATTATTGTTATTAATATGATGAGAAACTCATGAGAAAAAGCATATTTAAAGCTAAATCTGTTATATTCTACATACTGTATATGTTATTATTTCACAGGTTATTTAACAACAAATAGAAAGTTGATAATTTTGGTACTTACCTTCTTTACCCGAATCTCAGGAGATTCTGGTATTATATCACTATCATCATCTGCGATTTTTGTTGTTTGTTTTTTTATTACAGTAAAATATGACCGAATGCTCTGAAATAGTGAATAAAGTGCAATTCCTGTTTATCAAAATTACTACGCTTTATAACAAAACAAACATTACAAGTTGCGTTATTAATTAAAATTAAGCTTTTCATAATTTAGGTGTAATTATGATGTTTGATCGCAGTTTTGTTTCCAACAACATACCTTGGACATACTCAATTATGTTTTCACGTTGTCTTTTTATTTATAAACCTCGCTTGACTATAAATGTTGATAATATTTATATATATAAGAAAATTTAGTTGGATCTCAATAAAAATAGGAAGCATGAGAATATTGCGCGAAATGCAAATTAATATATTTTTAAATTTGACAACTGCCACCTTATTTTTTTTTCTTGAGATTTGATGGATTGGTGAAAACTGCCACTTTTGACTAAAAGTTACACGAGACTGTCAATTGTCAAGTGAGATAAGAGACCCTTTTTCCTTCTCTATGAACTTATGAATTAATATCACAAAATGGGTTTTTCTGTGAGTTCACAATGAACATTTGAGTATTTTTGCAAGGTTTTCTCAAAGTTTAAAAATTAAAACATGGTAAAAGCTTCTCAAATAAATTAAAACCCTTGAAACTGCATACGTTTTGTTTCGTTTTTTAGGCTTAAACCATTTTCTAGCCGTAATAGTATCAACGACCTTAGGAATTTATTTATTCTATAAATGTAGTATTAATAAGATTTTGTTGTTGGATCCTTAGAATAAGAACTAAAGCCAGACTAAGACCAGTGACGTAGTCAAAGTCTCTCAGTAACTCAAAGTCATACAAGTTCTATTTTGAAATCATTTATTAATGTCTCTAATATTCAATGCAATATTTTATAATATTTTTTATGTTTCTCAAAGTAACTGTATGTGCGCATGTGGGTAGCAGTTTATTCCACAATCAACTCACCAAAATCTCAAAGTTCGATTGTTGGAATGAACGTGATTTGGCCAAATTAAGGGCTCGAAAGGTATTCGAAGAAATGATACCGCCCAATGTGGTTCCTGCCAAAATAACCCAAAAATACACTAAGAATATTCTTAGATACTTCCGAAGAGCGTTTAATTTGGTAAACAAGGCTGCGGATACACAAACTAGCTTCATACTTAAAGAAGCCCTTGCAGACAGTATAGGTGCACACATGAGAAGTGAAATACTTCCCGCAGCTAGATTTGCTTATTATGCTGGTTTCCTTCCATACAGGAGAGTTCGCGATCTACACAACTATTATGACAACATTAAACTTTTTTTAAACACACAAGGATTAGGTTGGAGAAAACCTAATAAAGTCCCTGTATGGAGTAATCTTACTGTTGAAAAAATCCAAATAGGCTCTGGTCAAATTTTCGACCCTTGTGTACTGTTGGTCAGTAAAAGAGATACCAATTCTTGCATACACGTCCCACCTCCAAAAATGGACGACCACTGTGAGCCTACAGCCGTGGCACTTCCGGTTAAAACTAACTCCCTACTTAGTTTGACATCACCAAAATCAGAAAACGCGGTATTAAAATATTACACCGCAGCATCACGATGTCTCCTTAAACGTTCTCCTAAAGGTTGTCGCCACGCTGATTTTGTCAGTTATAATAATGAAATTTGGCACTGGGTGAAAAGGGACGTTGCTCCGCATCTAATGGATGAGAAATTATATGCGGCCTATGGTGGCATATTGAGGGTGGCTGCCGCTGCTCAAAGTTATGGAAAAGGTATTTCGAGACGCAATTTGTTTACATTCCAAGAGGCAGGTGTATCAAAATGGCAACCATGGAAAGCATTAAAAAACTCTTATGTTTATATAAACGCTGACTGGACTCCATACTGTTGCGTGGTAGGCATTCTACTTATAGGACTAGCAGTATGTGTTATACAAATACTTTATAGTTACCTTTTCGGTGACGATGATGGTTGTCATTGTAGAGGTCGTCCCAAGAGCTCAACTGACTCCAAAGATGTGGAATACGCTAAAGTAGACTCAAACATACCAGCCATGCTTCCGCCACACAAAAATATCTTCTATACTATGGACCGTGCAAAACATGCCAGCGTGTCTTCCAAAGTAAAAACCTCGTCATTGAGTTCAGCTAAGACACAAAGGGTATATGATTTGAATGAGAACAAAGAAAAAATGATGGATATAATTATGAGCGAAAGCAGTGATACGAGCGTGGAATCAGCAGATAAAAATGATGATAGCGACAATGTGATCGATGTTGGCTGTGTTGGTCGATCAAAGAGTCCTCCAAAAATAGAAACTTCGGTAGACGAAGTGAAAATTTGCAAGGGGAGTGCTCGCCGTCCTGAGTATTCGACCTCGGCCACTAGATCAGGAATTACATATCAGGATCAAGCAACAGAATCGGTGTGGTCTGGATCTGAAAGATCTTCTTCAGATACCATTACAACAGATAGTTCAAAATCAAGATGCAGGAGGTCTAAAAGTTCTAGAGATTTAGCATGGGCTAGACGAGTTATATCTAAACATTCCCTTACGAAAACTACATCAGCTACCACCTTAGATTGCCACTCGTTTACAACGCCACCTTCGCGGCGGTAATATGAACCTCTTAAAAAGTTTATTTTATAAGATTTATGCATATTTAAGGGTTATTTAAAGATTTTAAGAAAGATATTCGTGTTTGATAAATAATGATTTGTTTAATAAATTTAATATACCTATCTATATAAACACTATGTCCAAGTTTGTGTTTCCACCACACTGTTATAAACTTCTTTTTTATTTCAGATTGTATACAATAAATAAATATAATATGTAATTAATTCCTCTTTCCGTTCGCCTGTAATGTAATTTTCAATCATGCGCAAAACGGTCGTAGCGCCAATGGCTTATTATAATTAAATTTTATTTATTACTTTGCCCTAACAAATCGTTAATGGATATTTTTTTTTAGAACAGGGCAAACGGGCAGGAGGCTCATCTGATGTTTAGTGATACAGCCGCCCATGGACAGTCAATGCCAGAGGGCTCGCGAGTGCGTTGTCGGCTTTTTAAGAATTGATACGTTCTTTTCTTGAAGGACCCTAAGTCGCATTGGTACGGAAATACTTCAGTGGGCAGCTGGTTTCACATAGTGGTGGGCGGCAAAAACTGCCTTAAAAACGCCCAGTTGTGGAACGACGGACGTCAAGGTGATACGGGTGAAATTTCGTATTCTGCCTCGACGTCCGATGATGAAACTCAGCTGCAGGTATTGGAATTTGAAAAGTAAAAAATGAATTGATTTCATAATATATTTTTACAAAACTCGTCTTAAAGTTATACACAATCTCACCTAACGGCTAACAGCGTGCGATAAATACTTTTTAATTTTAAATAAACTAACGTATCACATACTTTTTTGTACCGCATAATATACAATTTTAACATAATATAATAGAGGATCCTTCGCCTTACTTCCATAAAATTATGAATACATATATAAATACACTGAAAGGGCGCGAGCGTTACGTCCCCCTGCTGTACCACAATCTAAAAAGTCAATGGATCATAACATCCTCATTTTCCTAGCTTATCTTTATTTTTTATATTATTAATCACAGTAATTTTTAATTTAATTCCTCGTAAATCATAATTATTAACGGCTTGGACGAAATAATTCTATTTTGAACACATAGTAAACTGGGCTATCAAATTCTTCATAAATTCTAAATTGACAAAATGGTAACATCTTAATAAATTATATAATTTAAAAAAAAACAATAAAAAATAAAATGATTAAAAAACATTAAATACTTTAAACAAATATAATATAGGAGGATTTTACCTAATGTTAATGGAATTGAAATATGGAATTAAAAAAATTACCATTCAATGATAATACTAATAGTCAAATACTAATCAAAATTAGATAAGGCATAGGTAGCAAAGATCGAGGAGTCTAGAATGTTTATTTCGTGAACGAAATTCAGTGTTCAACAGAAATATAATATACCGCTATGACAGCCGTCATGCAAATGACAGCACCGCTATTTGACGTTACGTTGACACTCAACGTTCTCTAGAAAAACTACTCCGATGTTATTTATAGACAACGTATGGGTGACGTCACCCAACGTTACATTACGGCCGTTAGTTAACGGCACCGCTTTTCTAGGATACCGTAGCTTAAGATAATAAACTATTAATCTCAAAATCTCTTAATTCTTTCAACTTGGTTAATCCTGGAGATGAGCTTGAGAAGGTGCCAGAATAGGTACATTTTTACATAATAGAGATAAAATACACACGGAATATGTTTAACTATAAAACGTATCTTAAAAACGAATAAAGTAATATAATACTAGAATTACTCATATAGGAGTGATTAAAGCATAGTTTGTGAGCGTTATTGGGTTCAAGAAACCATATTACGTCCATATCTCTAATGGAAAACCCAAAATCTCTTAAATCAATTTAAAATATTTCATAATGTATGCTCTATCCGAACCGACCATCACTATAGTGATCCGACCAATCGTACTATATAACTAATAAAAGAACTATACGTTTTTATTAAACACGATGATTACAAGAGTTATATCAGCTAGCGAAGTGTGATTAAATAATTGCAGTGCTATAAAAAATACACTTGTGCAAAAGAATATAGAAAATTAATTTTACCCATATTCATAAAAACTAAAGTCTTATTACTAGGACTATTGACCACTGTCACCTGTCAAATTGTGTTTAAGCTGTGGTGACAGGAGACGGATGAGTGGTCTATACTATGTGCGCTGCAGCATGATGCGGGTGACAGTTGCTTAAGTTTTCTTTCAATTTGATTTTATTTGTAGACTTAAATTTAAGTTATTACAGTTATTAATGATTTACTATATTACGAATGTGGTACAGCTGAAATACTAAGTCATAATTTGTAAATCGCGGCAGCTTTCAAGAGAGAAACGAAACGTTACTGAAACTGTCACCCGCACCATGCTACAACGCACATACTATAGTTAAACCTTTTCACTTAAGCAGTAATACAACTAAAATTTATAAATCTGGAAAAATGAGTTTAAATTTGATATAGATTAAAAATATTATCAATTAACTGTCATAGACAATATACCATGAACGAATAGTTTCTCAAATACAAATATTTTCTCGACCAAAAAGGTATATTTAATAGCAACCAATTGCGCTAACTCGTTATTCTGCGCTATATAGAGTTAACTGACTTTTAAAAAAATTACGACGCACCACGCATAAACACTGTAATTTGTAGTTTTGACAGTTTACCTTCGTAAGTTAATGGATAATTACTAACGTCCGAACCCAATAACCTATCTCAATCCAATGCACCATCTGAGATAGTAATTTTAATCCAAATGTTGTAAAAAGTATGCCAATAACCAATCGACGGATTGTAATAGCCATTTGTCGATACAAGCTATCCATGGGAGGTCGTATCTCTCTGTCGGTGTCTGTGGATAGACCTTTGTATGAAAATGACAGTTGATTAAAGCTCGATTTCAACAGTTAATTATTTTAACAGATTTTAACTTACACCAGTTTTTTAAATAATAATAAAAAAACTGTTTGTTTTGTTTTAAACATATACATGTATATTTTAATGTCATTTGTACGGTTTTATTTACTTTATTTGGTTAACATTGATTATTAAATATGAGTGAAAACTCGGTAAAATGAAACGACAAAGAGCATTTTATCCGTCGCCAAAAATGGATTGTGTTCGTAGGGTTTGGTTATGGGGATGCAAATAGGAGCCACGATCAATTTGAGATTGTGGATTAATTATTGGGTTCGGGCGTAAAGCGACAAGAAATTTGCAGGAACACCTCAAAAGTGTCAACTGTCATCAAACTCCTGACTAATGGCACTTCAGCGCCTGACTGACCGCTAAATTTCGCTGAGTTAATCTTCATTGAGATGTGACTTCTGAAGCGTAGTTATATTCATTTGTATTATTGTCTCGTATAATAAATTACTTGTGTATATTTTTGTACTGACGCATACGCCACTTCCTGTGCATATATTTGACGATGTAGAGTGGCAGACACGAAACCAGCGTGATCGTTGTCACTTTCCACCAGAATTCCCAATGTCGAATGAAGTCGCCATCTATAGTAATGTATATTTTAACGGTAGATAGTAACATTGCTTTTTAGATAAATAGAAAGTTTTTATTTAATTTAAATTTATTAAATTTTTATGAGACAACTACTTAAAAAATCACTGGCGCTACAACCTCTTTTTAGGTCTGGGCCTCAGATTTCTGAATCTGTTTCATGATATTTTTTTAATCTAATAGGCAAGTAGGTGATCAGCCTTCTGTGCCTGACACACGCCGTCACCTTTTTGGCTCTAAGACATGTTGGTTTCCTCACGATATAATGTACAAAAAACGTAACTAAATACGTACTAAATATACGTAACTAAATATTAATCAAAAAATTAACATAAGGATATGTTAATTTTTTGATTAATAAATAATGATCGGGGTTAGATAAACATAAGGGTTTGACAGCGTATACGTACGTGCGTACGTAACGTATTACATAGTTAACTTACCGAAGTAGGTAGTAAATATAAGCAGAGTAGCAGTATACATCAGAAGGCTGACCAGTTCGGCTACCATCATGAGATGGTGCCAAGTGCTGACAGTCAGAGCGACCATAATTAGCTCCGTGAGGATCAAGGCCGTATAGCTGATCTCCACTATGTGAATGAGCTGGTCTTCGAAGAGCACTAGCGCCCCATACATTATTACGCCACCTGTATATTACAATGGTGTTATTACTTAAGTTTTTCTTCGATCTAAAGGCTAAAAAATTACTGCAAAACTGACTCGTCGATATGTAATGGATTTAGACATAACGGAGTCAAAGTTCGTCAGTCTCGACTCTGAATATTACCCTAAAACTCTGGCAATTAACAAAACAATCGCCCAACACACAAATTTCAATTTTTTTAACAAAAAGCCTGCGTGTACTTTACGCTGCGTCATCGCCATACGAACGAGCTCAAACCATTTTCATACTTTTATATTACGATAGCGGAATTTCACTTATAAATAAATACTTATGTTGGCCCAAAACTCTATTTAAGGTTGATTTACCGCTACGAATTAGTAATTAACCTTTCTGTTTGTTAGCAAAATACGTAGTTATAAATTATCATTTTATAAAAGAACTATTTCACGAAATTTTGACTTTATCATCATATTGAACATAATTGGTGCTTATTTTTATACAGGTAAACAAACTATACTCTGATTTTTAATTCCATAGAATTCTGACATTTCATAAGTGTTGCTACTAAAAAAGTTCTCAATCGAAAAAGGGACGAATTTGACTTATTTGAGGGCAATGAAAAAATGCTACGTATTTTTTATGATTTACCTAGTTATACAGTCACAAGACATATTTCCTAATCTATAAACGGAAACACCCACGCGTATTCTCACTAAATATGCTGACGGACTGTCTAGCTCCCAGTCTCGATTATTAGATATTAAGTTAGTCTTAAGCTAATCACCAATGTAACCGGTCGAATAAATATTAATTAAATATAAAAATTATTCTTTTTAAAAACGCTCCAGCGCGACCTCGCGTTTTGACTACCTACAAAAATGTAAATCTAAATATTTACTTACTCAAGTGACTTATACAAAAATAACAAATATTTCAATATCACGAACAATACTAGTAGTAGTAATAATACTTTATTTTATTCTTTAGCTGGCAGTACACCTTTTTGAAAAAATAAAATATTCTTTACTTGTGCGTTTTTTACTGTTTGTGATGAAAAGGAACGTAATTACCACTCGCCGTTAAACCACTTTTAATGTGGAGCACCGCACTTAATAAAATGGATACATTAACTAACAATAAAATGTATGTATAGACTCAGATGTTCAGACTCGTATTGAAATTGAAAAATGTGCCCGACCAAAAAGGTTTGCCATCTCTGACATGTCAAAAAATGATAGCTGTCAGAATTCTACGGAATTAAAAATCAGGGTATAAGCAAATATAAAAACGATACCTTGATATATAGATATTCCAATCCATATATAGAAAGTCTTGTAAGAGAGCTGCCGTCCTTTTGTCAACTGTTTGTAAAGCTGCGGATACCGCAGTGCCGTCGCACTAGAAATGTCTTTGTCAAGAACCTATAGGAAATATCACTAATTATTCATTCTGCTTTCACTTTCTTAGGTTTTTTGTAATTCTTTAGCATTATTTATCTTTTTAAACTTATTAATTGTATGCATTATGTTTGTGACGCACCTGATTTCGAGGGCAAACATTGATTATAAATATCAAAACTTGTTTCGTTTCTGTTTTTGAAGTTATACTTCCTTAGGCGCGTTATGAAAAATTGATGAGAGTGAAATTGACTATAATGACTTCTTTTCCAGTCTTTGATTATTTAATTGTAATTAATTATTTGCATGCAATCAAAAACTATTTTTAATAATGCAAAAGAAGTATAACTTCTTACGCGCGTACATAAGTACACGCACCCTTTTTTTATTGTGTGGCTTTGTTGGCGCGGTTATAAATAAAATGGAACCCACGGCCTCCAGGATATGCTATAAGCTAAAGATGAGTAAAATTCCTCGTTAAAAAAAATTAGCCTATATATGATGTAAATAAATAAAGTACAAACAACTTACAAGTGAAAAAACAGGTAACATCGTAAACAACGTTCCGTAGCCAACCATTAAGAAGCCAGGATATAGTGACACTGACGAGAAATAGAAAACCACAGAGAACACGGCCTGGAATGAAGACAAATTGAATTTAATACGAATTATACCCGAAAAACTGTATTCGCAATTTTATTTTTATTATAAACCGATACTTTAGATAAAACAAAGTATTATTAATTACACAGTTTTCCGATGAATTTTTTTTTTCAATTATTGGTTTTCAACGCTTTAATGTAAATCTATATGTTGCAAATATTAACTTTATTTTATTTTCATGTAACATTATTTTGCATTTAAGTTGAACAAAGATTTTTAATCTAATAAGTAAAATTGCTTGTTTTTAGAAACATTTATTCTACTAGTATTGTCTTTGATTTACATAACCTTTACACATTTAAAGAAAAAACTGTTTGACCGGATTGAAGTCACCGTGACCACGCACGCTGTAAAGCACGCGAAACGTCGGATAAATTTAAAATTATGTTAAATAGTTGTAAATTTATAATAATACATAACTTCAATCCGGTCAAACAGTTTTTTCTTTAAATTTAATCTACTGTTTTTATAATCTTTATTCTGTGTTCTACATCTATCCTATACTCTGGGGCTGATCATTCTATAGTATACCAACCGTTTATAGTCTGACACAGTAACCAACTAAAGATATAACAAAAAAGAGCTTCTAGTCTGGGGTAGACTTTTTGAAAAATGTTTCGTCAATATTAATGAGGTCTTACTCATATCATAATATAAAACCTGTGTTATTATAAGACCTTTTTCTTGAAATAAATACGTAATATTCACGTTTGCGAACGTTAGTGGTTCATTTTTTAAAAGGTCAAGTTAGTATGTATAAATCTCGCTCTTATTTAAAACAATAAATTCAGTGTTTCGACTATTTACAACAAACCTTTGGGAGCGTTCAAGTATTATGTCACGCAATTTTTGAGATTATTGACCCCCCCATACCGTATCGTAACTTTTTTCTGTACCCAAGTATAGAAAACGTTTCGTGACCACCTACTGACTCTTTATACCTAAAACACAATTTTAAATTCACAATAACGCGTAATTCAATCCCCGCCCCGCATCGTAACGTTTTACAAAAGGAAATCCCCCCCAAATTCGTTACGTAATACTTGAACGTTCCCTTTATAAAAAAAATATCTTATCTGTAAAACAATTTAAGAGCATTTAATTATAACTTGTATTTACTTTTTTTTTATATCTTGCTTTTGTGGTGTCTGTCATGTTTCCTTATTGATAAATAAATACCTGCATAGTTGATACAATCAGTCCCCTGTGCACAATAAACAGGCAAAGTGCCGCAGAACGCATGACGGATCGACGACCATGAACCAAGAGTAATCTTGCCAGGAATGAAAAGCAACGGATGCTGACGTCACCCGCGAGAGACGCTGCCCGACCTTCAGCACCCTCTATACCCACACCTGGAAGATATATTTTTTATTATTTATTTATTTTTCTACACTATTTATTAAGAAAATGGAATAATTTCTGAGAAAACAATTTGTTATATTATCATCTTAAAAAATCATTGTAAAATTTTGAAGAGAAATTTGAATCGACTTGTATAAGTTTGAGTTTTAGAACACGAAGTTTGTATGGTAATAATTTTTTGTTGAAATTTCCTATCGCTTCTAGTCTGTCCCCAGTTTAGTTATGAGTATGACATATTAAACGAATGAAAAATGTATATTAAACGAACGTAGAAAATACATACATATTTAAATAAACTAAAAACAGTTATACATTATGTTGTAATTGACTCTATCAAGTTAGAACTGCTGGAACAGGGACGAAAATACGTCTAATTCAAGGTATAGATTTTCTTAACCAAAAAGTAACATTATGATTAACATTATCTAACGTTGCCTACTATCTAAGGGTGCGTCCACATCTGGCGAATATGCCGCGAATGTGCAGCTCGCGAGCCGTTTGCGAGCTGCGCGCCTGCATTTTTGTTCGTGCGCCGCTCATACGCCGCCCGCACGCAGTTCGCGCGCAACCTAAGCGCCGTACGCAAACAGCGTGCGGGCGGCGCACTAGTACTGACTACTGAGCCTGTAAACGGAGCTGTAAGCGCTAGAATTAAGTGCGCGCAGACCGCGCGCACGCCTTATACGAGCCTTGCATGAGTTGCGCTAAAGAGGCACCATGCCGTGACTGCACGCGCGCAGCTGCACATTCGCGGCACTTTCGCCAGATGTGGACGCACCCTAACACAGACATTTACATGAATCGTCTATATTACGTATTATTATTACCCATATCAGCCTCTTGAATCATGGCAACGTCATTTCCTCCGTCCCCCACAGCGGCTACAATCAGTCCCCTGGCCCTTAACAAGCGGACAACTTGAGCCTTCTGCGTGGGAGAACAACGAGCCACGACTACTCCAGAACACTCACGAAGTACCTCTACAAACTCCTCTTCGTAAGAACGAAGACAAACCTGAAAAAAAACACTATATTAGATACAGACATAACATTTATTACTAACGAAACACACACACAGAAACACACAAAGTAACAATCCAAATCAAAAAAATATAAAAAAGAATGAACGATAACATTTTTTTTTTTTTTTAAAGAAGAAGGTAGGTTTGAAGTGTGTAATGCGTGTGTGCTGAGGATTTTATTGGCCCTGGCTCAGCATTATGCTGAGGAGCAGACTGTTCCACAGCGCTGGTCATTCTGCCAGAGACCACCGCAGCTAGTTTGCGCCTCAGTCAAAAAATAATGTAATAATAATAATACTTAGTAGAAAAAAATAATATAAGTAAAAATTAGCAGTGTAAATAATGAAGTCTTGTGTAAAAGTATACAGTAAGTAAAATAAAATTTAAAATATTAGGCACTTAATTTCGTTAGTGCTATTTTAGTTAACTATAGTTTATAGAGAACTTTCGGTAGCGTGGGTGAACTAGGGGATTCAATAAGTTGTAAGCTTTAGAAGAATTTATCAGATTCATCAGATATCAGAATTTATCTTGGAAAACTTACCTAACTTAATACCTAAATAATTGTGTCAAAAGTCTGCCACATACCTCAGTGACTAGTCCTAGGACCTGAGCACTTCTAGGTTTCGCAATAACTGTTTTTAGTAGTTAAAGTAAACTTTACAGCACGGTATAACAAATCTGTAAAGTCTGCTCTAGCCATAGACAACCAGTCTACAAAAACGACTTCATATTATAACCAAAGTTTTATAGGACGAAGATGAATAAAAAAATATATTAAATTAACAGCACACATTAATACAAATTGCAAATAAACACCTCCAACGTCTCCCCTTCCAGTATCAGATCGGTGTCATGAGCACTTCGCAGTGCATTGAGCAGACGATGGGCATCCGTTCTTGAGCGACACTCGGCAGCCGTCATCCATCGAGACCCGCCGCCCAGGTGAAGAGATCGAGCGATACAAAGCGCTGTTTCTAGTTTGTCACCCGTTAACATCCAGATCTGCCAATAGAAAACATTATAATGTTTAAAGAACTTTATTACTTATTACACATCACACTTAATATGTATTTATATAATCTCATTCGGTAATATTCTAATTATGAAATGAAATACAGATTTTTATTGGCATATTTTATTTACATACTTCTTTAAGGAAATTAAAAAATTAAATTAAAGCATTATTCTCCTAACAAAACAATGCTTTAAAATATATTTTTTAATTATTAAAGTACAATGTGTCCCGATCAAGGAGGTTTCAATTCAATTTAAGTACACATAATCTGTGGTGAGAGACTTTTTCCATTTTGGCGCTATTTCGTACAAACGAATTTGAGTAATATTTTGTTGGATAAAACTTTAGTAGCAAAAATGTCAAGCAACACCGACGATACCGGTGAAAATTTAACTCCACCTGACATTCTAGAAACAGTCTGGGGCGGTGCCATAAAACTAAATTTATGACGAATAGTCTTTTGCCAGCGGTCTCTAAAAAAAGTCATGTACTTTAAACCATATAGATACCCCACAGTTAACTTATACAGAACAAGTGGATTGTTATCGGTAAGACAATTATAACTGCTAAATGTGAACTTATGTCTACATAAATCTATTCCATTTAATTCTGCCAGTCGGGATAAAGAGGAATAAAGTAGTAGTGGGGGGGGATTTTGCAAGGCGTAGAGACTCAGTCTGCATATATTTACAAAAAAATAAACGCTAAACTTCAATTTCATCCTAGAGTTTTGTATGAATGTAAGGAAGTTATAACAGATTGGCTAAAAACCTTTATTTTGATGAAAAGACATTTTACTACGAGTTCACTAGTCTGGTACACGCACCTACATAATTATATACTTAACAACTCAAACACACAAACTAACACACACATCCTACATCACACAACACGATGCATAAAAAGTTCATAGAATCGTCACCGATAAACAAATTCTATTTCTCCTATTTAATTTTTGTTTTATTTCCCCGGCTTGCTTTGTTGAGAAGGTTTTGTTTTGTATTCTTTTTGAAAACTGTCTGATATTTATAAATAAAGCGTGTGTGCACAACAATCAGTGTTTTGTGCTGACTAATTACGGGGGCTGTCTCGACTCATGTATTTAATGTAAAATTTGAGATACAGATAACTGTTCCACAGCTTGAACTGGTTATTCAATAAGAGTGATGCAACTGCAGATAAGGATAGGTATCAAAAAACTCTATATATCTTAATTTTTTAGTTAGACAAGTACTTAATTTTCTAATACTTGTTGATTTCGCTACTTGGTTTTTGACTTCTTGCGATTGTATCAACTTTAAAACATTGAAAAGTCCATTTATAATATGTTTCTCACAAACCTTAATCCCAGCAGTTCTTAACATGGCCAATGTCCTTGGAACGTCATCAGCTAAACGGTCTTCAACACCGGTTAATCCCAAAAGAGTTAGGCCCCGATGCAAGCGGGATAAAGCCGCGGCAGTACGCTCGTTACGATTCAATACGGTCAGTCGGGCTTCTTTGTACTCACTCTGAAAATTTACCGATTTTAACTAACGACTTCGCTCGCATTCATTTCTTATAAATCTAAGTTCAATGCCCAGTTAATTGTGTTGTTGGATTTATGTAAACTTGTCTATTAAGAAATAAGCCAGTGTAACAAGCGCAGCACTAAATTTTAACTACTAATAAAATAATAAAAATATGATTTACTAAACGACCCGACATACGTATACACAGCTCTTATATAAAAAAATCTAATTGTAAATCTAAATGATTCTGGAATCCACTTGAACACATCAAAAAGATATACTCAATACTCATATAGTAACAGTTAATAAATTCTCAGGGACATTACACATTATAAAAAAATTACAAATCAATCTTCTATCTACAATATGTTTGACAGCAAAACATTTATATGAATAGGCTATATGTTTTTATTTTTTATATTGCATTTCATTCAATTTATCCATGACCACGGTATTAAAAAAAATTAAAAAAACCTATTATATTATTAAATTAAAAACGGCGTTTTAATATGGTAGTCCATTTTCATTTACAAATTCTTACCTCGAACTCCAAATACTCGTTCTTAGTTAGAGTCCGTTTTGCGACGACCAAGGTTCGGAGCCCGTCAGCAGCGAGTTTACTGCATTCCGTGGCAAGCCAGGAAGATAGCAATAGCTTGGACAGAGCAACATCGGCCCCCTTTACGTAGTATGTTATCTTACCGGACACTTCTTCCTGAATGTTGTACAAATTATAACATTATTTTCATTTTATATTTAATTCCTCATCGTCACTTGAGATTATAATTAAGTTTTGAAGTTATACTTCTTTTGGCGGGTTAGGTAAAAACGATGAGAGGAAATTTTTACGATGCGCGCGCACATCGTCACAAAAAACCGACACCCTGAAGTTAGCTATAGTCAACATTTTAGTTTTTTCTATTGTTAGTGTCGTTTTTTCTATAAATTTTTTTTTTTTATAAATAGAATAAAAATTTTGAAAAGATTTTTATCTTGTGACGCCAAGAAGTACAACTTCTAACGCGTGAACATAAGTACACACACGTTTTTTTTTTTAATAATCTGTAAAGACAACCATGACATGATATGTTCATCTGAGACACATTTCATTTAGGTTTTTAACAGCTTCTATAAAAATAAAACAATTGTAGGTACCCTGGTAAAATATAATACTAATAAATATTGGAGTGTTTATGCGTAGCATTTTCATAGCATAGCAAAATTTTTTAACTTGAGATAGGAGATCTGAGCAGTCAAGGCGTCCATGAAGGAGGTGTAGTAAGCACAGGTCTGAATCAAGCTTTTTTTCTATTTAAAAAATACAGCAAAAAAACTTCCACGCAATTTTATTTCAAATATACCTGCACTATGATTCCCATCATCTTGGACTCGCTGGTAAAGGGGAACACCTGAAGTATGGTGAATGACATGATCTCGTTGGCCGCGCGAAGCTTCAGAGATATGTTGTGGAGGTCGCGACGGTACAAGGATACTCCCATCTATCAACGATTGATAAATTATAGAAAAAAATCCAGTGTAGCTACAACTTCTCCATTGGTGCAAAGCCAGGGCTTGAAACTATCACCTATATATGTGAGTCGCACGCTCAAGCCACTAGGCCTGTATCACTGCTCTGTGACAATAGATGGAGTGCCATACCCACTCCAGGATATCAATAGTCAGGATCTAGTTGAGATGACAAACAGGTTTTAAATGTATGTTTACGCCCCTAAACTAATAAAAACTCCAATCTGTGAAATTTATTTCTAATTATGAGAAGCAAGGATTATGGATCTGTAATGACTGACTCTTCAACAATCACTTGTTTGATTTTTGAGAACGTAATAAAAAGAAGAAGAAGAGAAAAATTATTTGTTATAACTTGCATTTAAAACTTATCAGTCTGCGCATGCACCATGCTGCATGACTGAGCTAGACTGTGACGAAATAGTAGCACACAGTATACTTTATTAAAAATTAAATTCATGAACATACCATGTCGGTCCATTTGACCAAGGCCACTTCATCCGGACTGGCTGCCTGGTAGTCACAGAGCTGCTGCTGAGGTACCGCCCCGCCGCAACTTTCGGACATGACTGAACTACCCATGTCTGTAATGAAGCAAAATATAGCAACTGTTGAGCGCGGCTGCGCTTGTGGGTAGGTATTTGAAGCCCAGATCCATGCCTACCAAGACATCAGAATTCTTGTTTCGGTAACCCAGAGAGAATACGTCTTCTTTGCCGATGAGTAGGGATGCCTACAGATTCAAATTTAATGTCGTGGAATAAGTGATACCTGTATCTTATGTTCCATAATAAACATATTTTTTTTATCACTTAGACAAGACGCTAGCGCGTAAAGCAACTTCTGTATTCAAATCAACAATTTTAATTATTAATGAAGTCATCTGTGGGTGTATGGGTGAAGGTATGGACTCGTGAGGGATGTTTTTTCATTCTAACTATAAACCTTTTTACGATGAGTACTCGTATCAACCATAGACGTTAAATAAGTATATGAACTGCCATTAATCAAGTGTCAAATGTCAAAAAAAAACTGTCAAATTTCGAGTTAGCGTTATGATCTTTAATTAAGTGTAAGCATTAAATTGTTTTATTAACTTACCAGATTGTGCTTCGTCAGTCTGGTCATCAACTTCATACACTGGTGTTACGTTATGGCACAGCGCCAAAGCCAGAACACTCTCCCACACCTGTCTCGGAGTGGGAGAAAGTAATGAACCATCGCCATTTGGGGTGGACGCTATGGAGGGACAATCTTTTGTCACATGTTGGGTTAATAGTGCTTCCACCTGTATTAAAAAATATTAATCATTAATTAATTAGTATTATATAATAATAACTAATGTTTTGCTTGTTATATTCCCTTATAGTTTGTGTATGGTTCAAGTTTTAAAACTTTGGTCCAATTAGACTTAGACATAGACACATACACACAATACAAATACAGACGAATATAAAATACCATGGATGTTATATGACAAAAAAAATTAGGTGTTCAATTATTATCATTAAAAAGACTATTTCAGAACTAATACGTTTAATACATATATTACTAGCGGACTGCACAGACGTCCTGTATATACGTCCTAAATACAAAAAGAAAAAATCTAATTAAATCTAAATTAAATCTAAATTATAAAATTTGCCGTTAGGTTGAGTTTAATTGCAAAAACACAACAGCAAATTTCTAATATATAAATAGATTTCCTCAATCAAAATCGGTTCAGCCGTTTAGGAGGAGTTTAATTACAAAAACACGCACAGCAGATTTATAATATATAAATAGATTTCCTCAATCAAGAATACTATGTTTTATAACAGTGCAAGTTGTAAAAGACAAAAAGGTAAATAGACAAAAGACTACAATAGACAATTCACCTCATGAAAATTATCCTTGTCGAATAGAGCATTACCAAGGTGCAACTTCTGAAAGACCATCTCATTCTTTGTCAATGTACCAGTCTTATCCGCTAGAAGATACTGTATTCTCCCTAACTCTTCCGGTATGGTCGTGGACCGCATCACTGTACCACTAATTTTTTTGTCCCGCTGAATCGTCCACGAGTAGAAAACTTTACCCATTTCCAGGTTGACTCTTAAACTGGAATAAATCATATTAATTAGATTTATAGATAAAGTGTATTAAAGCTTTTTTAAATAATTTATTTTGCTCTTAACCGAAAATCTAAATGGACTAAGTATTGTATATTGTAGCAAATTCGTGACGGGACGCGCTCTAATGTTATTTTTCAACAGTATCAAAAGAATTCTTGCTCAGCTAATGAATGTTCAAAATGTTCATTTCTGAGTGGCTTATAATATGATTTTGAAGCTCCTCGACTTAGTACTGTGTCTCTGCTGTCTCTGACTGAAATTTATTATGTTTAGGAAAAGGGAAATTTTGCTAATTTAATCTGCATTAGGTTTATGAGCTGGATATTCTGTTTTTGAAGTATATCTCCAAAACGCTAAAAACGGTGTCGTTTAAATATCTTTTTATTTATGTGACGGGGCAAATGGGCAGGAGGCTCACTGCCACACATGGACACTCACATTGCCATAAGGCTCACAAGTGCGTTGCCGGCCTTTTAAGAATTGGAACGCTCTTTTCATGAAGAATTTGGTTCGGAAATAGTGGCTAGTAGTTTCAGTGGGTAGTTGGTTCCACATAGTGGTGATGCGCGGCAAAGAGGCGTGGTGCCTTAAGAAACGCTGCACGGGGGGTGGGTGGAACCGAAGCGGACGTGCGAGAACTGATACGGATTTAGTACTCCCTTTGTATTCAGTCTTTGATGCCTAAACTCATATCATTTGTTACTTGCCTTCTGGGTATTAATCCGAACAACTCCTCTGAACACTTTCCAAAGTCTGAACATCTTTACAGAGAACTTATACTTAACAACACATACTTTTAATTTTAGCTAGTATATGTTTTGAATGCAGTGAATAATTCTATAAACTCCATTACGAAAAGTCAATTCTTACCTGATAGGTATTATATATGAAAACAGCAGCACAAATCTAAACAGGAACCCATACCATGGTCCATCGAAGCCCTTCAGAGCGATTAGGAGAAAAGAGGTCAAAAATGTCGCTACAAATAAGACTTTAGTGAAATCATTAACTCGCAGTTCGAGTCTTCCAACTTTGGAGCGAGGAACAGCGTTGTTCATCACGCTGCGGGTTTCACTTCCTAAACGATAGATACATTTAAATAATATTAGTACTTGGGGATCCAATTCAAACAACATTTTCTCGCTTTGTACAAGGCAGAACTTTTTTCATATTTTTAACAGATCTGATAAGAAAATATACTAACACATTACAAATCAGTTTTCTTGAAATGAAATTAATAAAGAAACTCTTTATATAAGTTTATGAAAATAGCAAACTTGTATCAACATTAAAATCATGTAAAAGTCTTATATGATTTTAATGTTGATGATGATTGATGAATTTATTTTACTAACATTTATTGTTTTATTATTAAAATTTATTAATTAGACCGTTTACACTTTTAGAAAAAAAAATAAGTTAAAAGTAGAAATTATGTATACATAAAAATTACAGAAGAATCCCATCTTTAAAAAAAAAATTAGTACGTTGCCCGCTCTACGCCCTTGACTTGCGAACTGGTGTTAAATGTAAATTTAGAATCAATTTAACATATTTTCTGTTAACGTTTATAAGTGTACTTGTTTACCTATATGAATAAAGTTATTTTGAGTTTGAGTTTACGTTAAACCGTTTGACCTAATTATCCTACATAAGTTTTAAATGTGAATACGTGTGAGCAAAAGGAAGTACCTGTGTATATGACAAGGCCAGTGGCCTGTCCAGATGCGACAACACACCCACTCCATAAAGTATTCTCGATATCCAAAGAGTCAGTCTCTTCTTCATCCAATCTTGTACATGTGCCTATGAACGAGTGTATGTCTTTCTCTGGTTTCTCAATAAATATCTTAGCATTAATATCTAGTAAATGCGCGTCGGTGGGTAATTTTTGCGTAGATGGTAATGGTATTCTGAAAGAAAAACATTATTTGAGAATAGGTTAGTTGTGTTTATAGAAAATTTTATAAACATTGTTGAATAGTCTATGGGAGCGTTCAAGTATTACATCACGCAATTTTTGGAGATTATTGAAACCCCCCCATGTAACGCGCCGTAACGTTTTTCTGTACCCAAGTATAGTAAAACGTTTCATGACCACCTAGTGACTCTTTATACCTAAAGGTTACAATTATGTGGTGTAAAGTACTGGAAAGTCCAAAATAATATTAACAATAACGCGTAATTCAATCCTCGCCCCGTATCGTAACGTTTTACGAAAGCTCCCCCCCAAATTCGTTACGTAATACTTGAACCCTATACCATTTTATTATTAATATTTACCTTAGTTTCCAATCAATCTCCCCGTCCAGTTGGTCTGTTCGTATAAACACAGTGCCCATAGTTTCATTTGTTCTTAGCAATATCATATCTGCAGGTACTCTCTGTCCCTTGTGCAACATAACAATATCACCAACACGCAATGCAGAGGCTGAGACATGTTCAGTAATAAAGGGTTTGTAGCCATCACTGGGTGCGTCTAGCACTATACGTTCATATCTCTGTCTATTCACTTCTTTGTCCCGTCTGAAATTTTTAGTTACAACTATAATCATAGCAAGATACTGAATTGGTTCATGCAGTTCTTCTAAAGCGTTTCATGGCTTTAACTTAGAAGAGAGTGCTTTTCTGTTATAAAAGATTGGCTGTTATTGCTGGTAATTTAGATACACAACTCTCCCACCCAAATATGTAAATCATATTTGATTCTAGTTTTAATTGCTGTCAGTCCGTTTTCTTATGAAGTTTAAACCGTTCCCTCAAACTTCCTGGTTAGGCGAGCGTAGCTCGGCCGGAATGGGGCGACAATTAGTTATCGTGCTTTGATTTGTATCCGTTAAGACATGTTGACATACGGACCTTTTTTGCCGAGAAGGGGTAATAATTGATGCTATTACGCACCAACGGGTTGGGATGGTTTAGCCTGGTGGGATGATGTTTAGCCTTGTCGAATGGTGTGATGACGCCAACTTTATCCATTGGGCTATGGTAGGGAGCTCCAGGTCGTGGTGGAGATCGACATTTCTCACGTAGAAGGGCGCACCGGTCGCGATTCTTTATGCGCCCCATTTTTTATGCTTACTAGTGGCCATATTCAATTGCCTCATCGAAAACTACATCTTCCGCGTAGGCGCAGTGAAAAGAGGCCACTGTAATTGGTATCCACAAAACAATCCCACCAGTTACCGCCCTGCCAAGGTCTGGCACAACGGCTTGGTTTACCAGCTCTACCACCTTCAAGTGCCACTAAGACTCGTGCACATCGTACACGACTTCTTATCCGACTGCACGATGCGCTATCGTATAGAGGAAATGTTATCGACCCCTCGACCCATCAGGGCCAGAGTCCCTCAAGGTCCGTCCTCGCACCCCTCCTGTTCACGCTGTTCAGCGACATCCCTAGAGCTCCCAATGTGGAGCCCTCTATGTCGATGACACCGCTCTCTTTACCACCCACAAAGACAGAGGTGTCATCGTGGACAGACTCTAGACCGCAACCACGTCACTAGGCGAAATTTCGGAAATGGGGCTTCCAAATAAATCCCGAGTAGAGCGTTCTCTTTGCCAGGAGTAACCCCTTTACGGGCAAGCCAACCCGTGGCAAAAGTCGCAAGAAGGCCACTTTTGTCCTATCCCGCTTCTATTTCCTCCTGAATAAAAGGTGTTACACGTCCCTTAGACATAAGGTGACATTGTACAAGGCCTGTATCCAACCGTGCATGACCTACGCTAGCATAGTCTTCGCGCATTGAGCCCCCTCCCATATCCACCGGCTACTTGAATAGTTGGGAATGTTGCTTTAAGATATATGTTTGTATTATTATATATTGTGAGGATATCCCACATTGTATAAAGTGCAAGCATCAAATGAGGGACAGTTGCAATTCAGCTTTATTTATTTTTTATGTGATAGGAGGCAAACATGCAGGAGGCTCATCTGATGTTAAGTCAACGATTGTCTCAACGATTACACAAGTTAGGGAGCGTTCAAGTATTACGTAACGCAGTTTTTGGATATTATTGACCCCCCCACCCCCATGTAACTCGCCGTAACGTTTTTCAGTACCCAAGTACAGTACTGTACCCAAGTATAGTAAAACGGTTCGTGACCACCTAGTGACTCTTTAGTTACTATTATGTGGTGTAAGTCGAAAAAAATATTAACAATAACGCGTAATTCAATCCCCGCCCCGCATCGTAACGTTTTACAAAAGGACCCCCCCTCCCAAAATACGTTACGTAAAACTTGAACGCTCCCTTAAAGATTTGAGAGGTTTGAGAGACATGAAGAAATCCTTTGTTCCTTAATCATATGAATGCACAATGAATAAATGTGCATATAAATAAACATCTATTAGTTCATAACTATTTGTGCGCTTGGATTGACACTGCTACATAAAAAAACAATATAGCAAAATAAAATGATATCATAATCATAGAACAATTGCAATAAGTACATTATATTATCATGTTTACTTAATGGGAAGTCCCAGAATACAACAGCTTACACCATTACAATATTTTATGAGTAAATAGTGAAACCTTATCAGCAAAGCTTGTTTGTTACATATAGCTCATATATCACTAATATAAACAAATTATACACAAGTAACAACAATGTTTAATGACCCCAAAGTATACTCCCAGTTCCTAGTAATTATTAATCTTTTACTTATTTAGATTAATACCATAAAGAAAAACAACAATTAAATCATCTTTACATATATTATCACAATTTATATGATCATGTTGTTTTAAATGTTACAGTAAATTTGATTTTTTATATAAATGAACCTACATTTATAAAAAAAAATCAATTTTACACCATAGAGCCAAACTGTAATAAACTAGTGACTGAATATTCAATATACTTTGTTTTGAACATACCTGTATCTTCTGTAATCATCAATAGCTTCTCTAAACAGTGTTACCGCCAGAACAAACCCAAGTGGTCCCCAGTATGTATAGAGATATCCAATGCGAATGCTTGGTATAAATTGACTGAGGGCCATAACCAAGAAATACAAATTTAAGAAAAACTTAAACTGCTCAAACAAAACTATGGGCAGGAATGTAATTATACTGTATTTCTGAAACAAATATTAATATAGTGGATAAACAACTAGGGCAATGGAGTGAAAACAAAAATCAGTATGATCACCTAGACTTATTGTTATGTATAGCTATGAACAGAAACTGCGGAAATACAACTTTTGTGTTACAAAAAGCTATACAATTGGAGAGTTATATCTATGGAGTAATTGGTTTCTATAATAAAGATAATTTTTAATATTAGTAAAAGCATCTTGTTAAATAAAATACAATAATCAATTACATTAAGCAGCTTTACTATTCTTATCAACTGTTTGCCTGCAATAATAATTTATAAGTAGGTTAGTGCTATAAAACAGTGCAGATACAGGTCAAAAACCTCCTATTAAGTGCAATATATAAATTATTATTTTTGATATGAGTGCTATTATATGTTTTTAATATTTTTTCTAAACACTGATTAATCAGGATGATAAATACTAGATTTGAATTGTGAATCATGATACATGTATGTAAATCGTGTAGTCAGTGGTCATTGATCTAATTAGATTACAATGAAATATTATCTTACCTGATTGCATACATAGTTTGCTGGATATTCTTCATCAGGAAGTTGACCTAAATATATCACTCTTGAACAGAGTTCCTTCCCCTTAAACCAATCAAACTTTATCCTGAAACATCAAATATTTTGATAAACAAGGGAAGTGTTATGTACGTAAACAAAACATTAGATAATGTTACCTTGACCATAAGGATTTCTTTTTAGGTCGAGTTATAAGTGGCGTAGTTTCCATTGTGTTTCTACTTTAGTTACAGTAATGATAAAACATTTTGTAAGATAAAGTTATTCGTGAAATATTAATTGGATATCAGAGAAGAAATAGTTCCAGTTATCATCACCGACACCACTACAAGTGAAATGTGAGTAAAGTAGAAAGTCGCAAGTGAGTAGTGACAAGTCGCAGTTCGCACTTCGCAGTTCGCACTACACAAAAAAAAAAGACTACAAAGACTATATATCTTTCCGTTTTAACAGACTACTACAAAATAATAAACATGAAAAAGGTAGAGGCACGAATTAAGTTTGGTGGTGGTTTTCGTATGGAGATCTTTAAATAAAAATTCTTTGTTTTAAGCTGGGTAACAACTGATTGAATTAGTTTAAAATATGTGCTTATAAATAACAAAAAATTAGGGCGAGAGGGGTCGAAGAGCGTCGCTAACAAAAACAAACTTGGCTTATCTAAGGGTTCATAAATGTAAATGACACTAATTATGTTATTGGACATTATTGAACCGAGAATGTTAAAATACAATTTATAAGTGTGGTAAATGCTAAAGGGTTCATATTGACATCAAGTGTTTTTATTGTTTAAATTTTGTTTACGCTTTCTAGTAATAATGACCTAACATGATTCATAATTTACGTAAAAGTGCATTATTTGACTATTCTTTGATAAATTTAAGTTCTTAAATAGGGCTTTATCGTACGTAGTACTTTTTATTTTTGTCAGCTTCATTTTTGACAAATAATTCTAATGAATCTTACGCCAAAATACAAACTTACTTCTTATCTTCTTCTTATATTTCGATCAAGTCTCCAAAAACATTTTACTCCAAAACAGTATCAGGAATGTTATGTTATTTACAAGCATGCTACGTCATCGTCGTGTCAACTAATCTTAACACTTTGTGTCCCATGGCTGAAGTGTAAATATTTTTAAATTTAGGCTTTTGTATTTTTTAATAAGTTAATTTACTCCATAATACTTTTTGAAGTAATGTTGTAATTACTTTCGATTACCTTTCCAGGAAGATATAATTTAAATTAACTATTCAAACGATTCTTGTCCTCGATAAAATCTATCGACTTAAATATAAAGTTATTCTTCTCCTTCTTCCTTCTTCTGCCAGAGCCATTTAAAAAATAAATGGCTCTGGCACGATTTGTGCATTAGCCAGCGTCAAGTATAGAATTTTGTATCCCTTCTTTAAGACCTTCTTTACCTTACCTTATATCTGATATCCGACAGGAACCTAGTTTTGCTAAAACAGGGTAATAAAAAATTGATATCCCAAGAATTTGTCTGACTCCACATCAACGACCCACCGGCCAAATATATCAGTCCAAAGGTTGGTCTGTAGGTAAATCCAAGAGAAATGCATATATTATAATTTAAACTTATGTTGCAATAAATAATTTTGTTTTCTATTTTTTCTAACTAGCAGGTAAAAATTTAATCGTACATAAATAAATGGCAACATTTTATTGTAAATAAATGGCAACATTTTATTGTAAATAAATATGGCGCCAGCCGCCGTCTGGGTGTGCATGGGTGTGTAACGCAGCATAAAAATATTTATTTTGTTAAGCGTTTCAATACTTAAAAAACTTTATAAATAAAAAAGTGGTCGCGTATATGTGAATGTGAACTGTTTATAAAATTATATCCTCTCTAGGATATCTAAATTAATTATTAGTATGCAGTTGTCAAGAAATCGGGATTCAGGATCTGCTATTATATAGGACTTATCGTTATCGGCTGCCTCGGCTCTCGTCTGTCTACGCACGTTAGAATGTAAGATAGATATGTGTATTATATATTTTTGTAATAACAATAATTTAGGCTTGGTGACGTGAGTGATTGAATGCATGATTTATGAATAGAGCTCTGTCTAGGGGTCATGCAGTGTCGTTTGCGTAATTAAATTTGCAAAGGGTGTTTATTAGATTGTAATGCGGCGCTTCGGAGGTAGCATGTTGTCGTCTCTGTCAGGGCGGGCACACCTCCGTTTGACCTATTTTCTGGTTATTGCATCGGAACTACTATTTATGTGTTGGGGTGTGAAGTAGGCCGCTCCTGCATCTCGCCTGCACAAATATAATTTAATAATAATTTTTATCCGAAGTAACATTATTGTCTTGCTGTAGAGAATATCTATGGTGCTGTTTTAGACTACTTGAAATCATATGGTATGTGGAAATTTTGTGTCAGGTATGCTTTGTAAATCAAACTTCTTTTCAGCCAATTTGAATTAAAGTATACACACACATATACTATGTAAAGGGCACTGACCTGTTAATAGTTCTTAATGATAATTAATATCCTATTTTAAAGCTTCTGAAAGAGCATAAAAGTGAGCCATTCAAGTAGTTATATTAATACTTATTTTAAAGTATATCTACCTGGTCTTTGAACTGGGATTTAGACTTACTGAAGACTTAGAATATTATGTTGTTTTTCAGATCTTGTTATACTTCTGCATTTGTATTAACATAAGTATGGTTAAACTATATACCATGTAATAGAATATTATAGCATATAGGTATTCTTATATATTTGTGAGATTTTATAAATGTTATAAATAATTATGGAAATTTAAAAGCAATTTCAACAAAATCAAAAATATAATACAAATTACATTCGGTTATATTTAAGTGTATTGGTAGAAATAATGTAGACATTGTTACATATTACAAGTAGGAATGCTCTATGCATGCACTATTTATCATTATGTGAATGCCAATTATAATTGTTAACCCTGACCATTATATAATATTTACTCAACATTTTACTACTTGATCAGCCTTGATTATTACCAAGTTATGAATAAATAATGTTTTTACTTTATTATGACAATTACCAATATCTTGTATACTAGTTCCCAAAAGGCAAATATAGGATTAGACAAAGTTTGGGGAGGTAGAAGTTTTTAAGTTAGTATGCAAATTATTGATCAGGCTTGTATGAAACCTTTTTCATAAATAATTTTTATTCAAAACGCAGTAACAAGATTATATTCGGGCAAAATGAGAGTGTAAAGTACAACTTGTACTAGGTAACCTATCTTTATTGTTACAGAGAAGTAGTGATAGCGGTAGTGCTAAGTGTGGCATAGAGACAATGGCGGTGAACTTACTTTGTGAGTGCACTTGTAGACAAACAATATGATGGAAACAGAGCTTCCGCCTGGCAGTAGTAACTCAACAGGACACCTCTCTACCATTGGATGGCAAGTACCAGGTGAGAATGAGTTTCTTTTAACATTATGTTTTTAAAATTTTTAAACTTATACTTATGTGTATCATCAATACATATGTTCAAAGTGACTAATAAACTATTTTGATTCATTATAGTAAATCTATTCATATAAAATAAAAGTGCTCCATTAGTTTATAATAAATAAGGATCATTTAAGTAGAATCAATATCTGTTAATGATTGATTGTTTTGATAATTTTCACCAACTGTTTCATTATTATATGACCTAACATCTCTATTGGTGTGTAACCAACTTACTATTAGTACCCTTTATCTTCTATAGTAATGTACAAGATAAAAATGCTATATAAAAACATTTTCTGAGGGTTTGGTTTACCGATTTGCCTGTCAATTTAATAGTAAAATCAGAAAAACGTATATAAAAATCATTTACATGCAAATTAGCATTGTATCCAAAACGACTACATTTGGAAGATAAATCTAATACTGCAAACACCATCTATAAGCTAGCATCTGTATCAATGCACTGAGATCACCATAGATTATAGAACTCGGTATAGTATTGGTTTGGTGGTAGGTCGTATGCACCACTCGGCGAGCACGCCAGCGGGTGTGGACGGTGGCGGGTCTCGCACGCCGCCCGCCACGCCCAAGAAGGGCGGCAAGATGCTGGCGGTGCGCGTTCAGATGCTGGACGACTCCATATCCATGTTTCAGATACAGGTTAGCGACTAACTCATATGTTGAATATAAAAGCGACTTACGTAACGATATTATTATTCCCGTCAACTTAAATCGCAGGGATTTATTAATACATTTTCATTATGTTCATCCTTTTGCGTATGTTCATTAGTTAATCTAAGGTAAAGGGTTAAAATTATGAATGTAATGTATGAAATAACAAAGTAATAATTAGCGATACTATCCACGTCTACGTACGGGCAATAATACTAGAGGTGGCATGGCTTTTGTAATAACTTTATTTGGATTCTTATATAATTTCTTATGTATAAAAATACATAACAAACTATATTAGAGAATTTATAAAATATTCTATTTACGACTCTTCAAACACTTAGACGTAGTTTGTATTGTATTGTTGTGGAGAGCTCAGCATTTTTCCGTTATACAATAAAAGAATGTAACATAAAATTCTGCTACGTTTTTAAAGTATAGTTTTCTTGTATGAAATGTCTACCTTAGTATACAGGAGTACAGGGTATTACGTTTTGTAAAACACCTTACTTTTATTTTAGTTTAGCTTAGGATACGATTTATTTATTTATTTACGATATAGATTAGGTGAAAGCTGAGTGTCATGTGAATAGGTCCATAAATCGGAAGATGCGTGATAGACTATTTCTTTCTATATAAGTAGAAGTTTAGGATTTGATGGACTTAAGAATACGTTTGCCGCACACAAGTGAGTCTGAACTATATTGATATAATGGATTATCTGGGTCTTATATCAACGCATTTGACCAAGCAAAACATTAATGATGAAGCTATGTTTTCGGTCTGCAAATATTATCATTAAATTTTCAGCGTTCATAACATTTAGGAACGCAAAAAAATTTCAAAGAAAATTCTTTAAAAGCGCCGACAATTTACGTCGAAAAGATTAATTAGAGGCTTGCAGACAATTTTTCATCAAGCATCTCTGACCTTTAGTTTATGTTAATAATTTCCATCAGAATTTATAAATGGTGTTGTGTTACACAAAGCTTTACGTCAGTCACTAATTATTGGCTTTAACTAATCACAGTTTATCGAAGTACTTAGTGGTTTCAAGAAACTTTACTGAACATCACACGAACTTTTAATATTATTTAGTTTTATACATGCTATTGCATTAACTTATAAAAATGTATTACTTTACAAGTGACACAGCGTAAAATGTATTGTAATCTTTTATATACTATATATTAAACAAAAAATATTTAGTCGCTTTATAAAATAAATCAATTCGTAGAGTCTAACAATTCTTTAAGTATTTGCATCTGTGTCGAGGGTTTAACAGTAGACGTACTGTCAGCAAACTCTCTAGTGCCACGTATAACTATTACACGTTTATGTATCTCTATTCTTCATAACTTTCATAATAATAGGGATTTGCCATGAAATTTCGAAGGTCGAAGTAAGTTTCGAAATGAAGTGTCGATAGAGCGAAATCATGGTGCCTGATAAAAAAAGAAATATGTGGCTTTACAACCTTTTAGGTTTAGGCCTCAGATTTCTGTATTTGTTACATGATTCGTTTTTTTTTTAAATCTAACTTATGTGCTTGACACACGCCCTCCACTTTTTGGATCTAGGGCGTGCCGGTTTCCTCAAGATGTTTTCTTTCACCGTACGAGCGAGTGTTAATTGAGCATATAAAAAGATAGTCCACCTGCCAGGGTTCGAACATATGCCCTCAGAAATGAGAGTCGCACCCTGGAACCATTGGGGTTGTCCCAGCTGCTCTGTATTTATTTAACTAGCTTTATATTTGTTCAGTTAATTACTATTTATCGATGCTACTACTATACTAAATTAGATATTTAATCAAAATTAGAGAGATACTTAGTATATCGCAACTTTTATGACACTGCAATGCAAATAATATATTTAAAGTAACACGAGGGTTGCCGTAATTCTGTGGCATAGTTATATAGCATTCGGTTTTATGTGGTGAAATTTGCTGATAGTACATAGATAATTCAACAATAAATATCTCACCAACATCGTTCACAGTAGTGTACTGTCCATACTAATCGGGTAACTAATGGTCCGCAGACAAGACTCATCTAAAGAGCCGCTTTGTGAGAGATTCGCAAGGAATTCCAACCAAGTTGCCTTTTTGAGACTGATTATTATTTCGCCTTAATTTTAATCTACGTTTGCGTACGTATTTTGCGTACGTTTACCCAATAGTGAATATACTTTCTAATTAAAAAAAATGTATAGTTTTGCTTTCTAGATTTTGTAGTTTTGTTAATAGCTTTGTCCCGACTACGCATAAATTCATATAACTATTTGCTTATTTAGCCTAATTAATGTAAAGTTAAAAGAATATTTACATTCTTGTTTTATTTGCTTTGAATTAAGTATTCTTAGGCGAGACTCAATTATTTTTCGTAACGCTTCGAGTTTACTTAATGATGCGCAAAATTTCGGGTAAACGCAAACTACTTAGGCGCAAAATGTCTTGGGTAGGGAACATGTAAAAGGGAACGAGGGTCAAGTCAGTGGAACACTGTTTATAATGGTAATAAACATGGAGGGATTTTTAACTGTAGACCGTAATTTGAAGGGTACTGTAAAAGAAAAACGGGGTGGATTTGTTAAAGTAGTCTTCTCTAAAGGAAAATGTGTCAAGACTCAGGTACTTTACTAAAAGTATTTTTATACTGGCTGGCTTTAGGCACATGACTAAGAGTTACCACGGATATGATAACAAATTCTGCAATTACCGTAGATAAATTTTTTGTTTGTCTTTTATCTTACGCAAACAAAGATTTTTAGGCACAAACTCTATATCTGAATTAACTTTTCATGTAGCAAAAAATAAATCCAAAACATTATCTTTTATATCGCGGTTAGTATAGTAAAACTATGTGTAAAATTTATATATTTTTTTTAACAGGAATGCCTACTACGGTCGTTATGATTTACATAAATTTTTAATCAACATTAATATTTACATTAACACTTAATATTTTTTCGTTCTACAACTGAGCGTTTCTTAAGGCAGTTTTTGTCGCGCACCACCACTATGTGGAACCAACTACCCACTGAAGTATTTTAATTAGCGTACCAGTTCTTAAAAGGCCGAACACACTTGTGAGCCTTCTGGCAATGTGTCCACGGGCGGCGGTCACTTAACATCAGGTGAGCCTCGGTCTCGTTTGCCCCGTTACATAAATATGAAGTTGTTGTAAGCTTTATATAGCCGCACATTGTTCTTATACTTTTCCTCTGCTTACAAACACTTTTATTGGGCTGGATTGAGTTTTTGTTTGTATGAACATATTGACTGTGCTTAATGTTGTCGTTATTTAATCAACATTACCATAAATGCAAACGCCCAGAGTACACAGGAAACTTTGTCTAATTATCACAAATGTGTCACTCTAACATACATTTATATTTTAGTGTCGTGTTGTATGAAAGCCATTAAAGAAATGCGTTCAAAAACACTATGCTATAGAAAGTTAAAAAGTTACGTATCGTGTCTTCTCCGCAATGCAGTGTATATTATTATACGGTTTATAACAGTACTATAAACTTAAGGTACCGGAGAACATAAAAGGATTTTTGTATTTTGTTAAATACTTGATACCTAACAAACTCCTCTGGCACGAACGTTATAACGTTATTGAACTCGACTTTCGAACTTATCACGATTTTATTATGATTTAGCGTTCTTTACATTAGTACAAGGGCAGTATTCTGTAACATCAATCAAATCAAACCTAATATCAACCGGTCAGAATGTCTCTGTTGGTTTTCTTTACTACTATGAAATATTTTGACAATAATCGAACTAAAAGTGTAACTTGACATGTAGAATATTATACCACCGTAATGTTACGCACTTATATTTTTTCTATTAAATTAGTTGAATCGGCCAGTTAAGGGATGTTTGATTTTATAAATCTCTAATGGACAGAAGTATTACAATAGACAATTTTAGCAGCAGTCATAATGACGTTTTGTCAATTGAAACTCAAGGAAAACCTTTACAACCATTAAATACACGCTACATATTATAAGGTTAAAGATGAGGCTACATGAATAAATAAAAAAAAAAAAAAAAAAAAAAAAAAAAAAAAAAAAAAAAAAAAAAAAAAAAAAAAAAAAAAGGAAAGGGGGGGGGGGGGAAAAAAGAGGAAGGGGGGGGGGGGGGGGGGGGGGGGGGGGGGGGGGGGGGGGGGGGGGGGGGGGGGGGGGGGGGGGGGGGGGGGGGGGGGGGAGGGGGGAGAAGGGGGGGGGGGAGGGAGGGGGGGGGGGGAAAGGGGGAGGAGGGGGGGGGGGGGGGGGGGGGGGGGGGGGGGGGGGGGGGGGGGGGGGGGGGGGGGGGGGGGGGGGGGGGGGGAAAAAGAGGGGGGGGGGGGGGGGGGGGGGGGGGGGGGGGGGGAAAAAAAAAAAAAAAAAAAAAAAAAAAAAAAAAAAAAAAAGGGGGGGGGGGGGGGGGGGGGGGGGGGGGGGGGGGGGGGGGGGGGGGGGGGGGGGGGAAAAAAGAAAAAAAAAAAAAAAAAAAAAAAAAAAAAAAAAAAAAAAAAAAAAAAAAAAAAAAAAAAAAAAAAAAAGAAAAAAAAAAAAAAAAAAAAAAAAAAAAAAAAAAAAAAGAGGGGGAAGGGGGGGGGGGGGGGGGGGGGGGGGGGGGGGGGGGAAGGGGGGGGGGGGGAAAAAGGGGGGGGGAAAAAAAAAAGAAAAAAAAAAAAAAAAAAAAAAAAAAAAAAAAAAAAAAAAAAAAAAAAAAAAAAAAAAAAAAAAAAAAAAAAAAAAAAAAAAAAAAAAAAAAAAAAAAAGAAAGGGGGGGGGGGGGGGGGGGGGGGGGAAGGGGGGGGGGGGGGGGGGGAAAAAAAGGGGGAGGGGGGAAAAAAAAAAAAAAAAAAAAAAAAAAAAAAAAAAAAAAAAAAAAAAAAAAGGAGGGGGAGGGGGAAAGGGAAGAAGAAAAAAAAAAAAAAAAAAAAAAAAAAAAAAAAAAAAAAAAAAAAAAAAAAAAAAAAAAAAAAAAAAAAAAAAAA